GCGGTGTGTCCACTCACAGGATGAGTGACGCTGACCAATACCGTCACTATGGCGGTGTGTTCACTCACAGGATGAGTGACGCTGACCAATACCGTCACTATGGCGGTGTGTTCACTCACAGGATGTGTGACGCTGACCAATACCGTCACTATGGCGGTGTGTTCACTCACAGGATGTGTGACGCTGACCAATACCCGTCACTAGGTTGAAGTTAAGAACAGTATTGGTACTGACAGGATGTTGTATATTCAGTAATGGGTTTTAAATATTTACAGAACTTAAATAAGTCCGCGTAAGTAGTTTCACAGGTTTGCTAATAGTAGGTACCTTCAGGAGGGGGTATGTGGTGGGTCCAGAGGGGGTAGCTGGGGTATGTGGTGGGTCCAGAGGGTGTGTGTCACATGTGTGGTGGGGATCCAGAGGGTGTGGGTCACATGTGTGGTGGGTCCAGAGGGGGTGGTTAGGGTATATAGTGGGTCCAGAGGAGGTGGGTCACGTGTGGAGCGACGTGTGAGGTGCCACACCTGTGGTGCCTGACTGTCCCAGCCTCAGCGCGGCCAGACCTACGACGCACACAAACAAACGAGAAAGATTGCTGTACTCACCTAGTTGTGTTTGCGGGGGTTGAGCTCTGGCTCTTTGGTCCCGCCTCTCAGTCGTCAATCAACTGGTGTACAGATTCCTGAGCCTACTGGGCTCTGTCATATCTACATTTGAAACTGTGTATGGAGTCAGCATCCCATCTGTTAACTACTCTGACACTGAAAAAGTTCTTTCTAACGTCCCTGTGGCTCATTTGGGTACTCAGTCTCCACGTTACCGTACCACCCGTGTTAAACAGTTTATCCTTATCTACCTTGTCAATTCTTCTGAGAATTTTGTAGGTAGTGATCATGTCTCCCCTTACCCTTCTGTCTTCCAGTGTCATGAGGTGCATCTCACGCAGCTTTCCTCGTAACTCATGCCTCTTAGTTCTGGGACTAGTCTAGTGGCATACCTCTGAACTTTTTCCAGCTTCGTCTTGTGCTTGACAAGATACGGGCTCCATGCTGGGGCCGCATACTCCAGGATTGGTCTTACATATGTGGTGTACAAGATTCTGAATGATTCCTTACACAGGTTCCTGAAGGCTGTTCTGATGTTACCCAACCTCGCGTATGCCGCAGTTGTAATTCTTTTTATGTGAGTTTCAGGAGACAGGTTTGGTGTGATATCAACTCCTAGATCTTTCTCTCTGTCCGTTTCATGAAGTAGTTCATCTGCCATTCGGTATCCTGTGTCTGGCCTCCTGTTTCCACCGCCTAGTTTCATGACCTTTCTGTGATAATGATCAAATCAAAATGTCATCAGGGCGCCACAAATGTAAATTGCTAAGCTTAGAAAATGTCGTGTTCAGTTTTTTTTTTTAACCCATTGTGCTTCGTGACACATTAAACTATGTAACAATATAGATTCTGTGGTCTTATGGCATATTTCAGCTAGCTTCATCGGCCACTAAATGTTTTCACTAATGTTCTAAAGCTGGTTTACTGAAAATTATATAAACTTTATATAATGTAGTATTTTCCCTTGCAAATTGATGTAAATATGGTCTTTATATTGTATATTATTTGATAAAGAAAACAAAAACTGTTCTAATTCGTGTTTTTAATGTCACTAAATATGAATGTCATCATTTACACATGTAATGTTTAGACACATATGTAAGTGGATAATTATTGGTAATCATTTAGGATTACTTGTGCATGAGCGATATACATCCTTCGTTATTATTGTTAATAAGTGCACCATTTATAATTTTGGGATGAATTCTGTAACCTTGTGTACTTTATTTACGTACTACTATGTTCGGGTGCACGTGTCCCTTCTTATGTAAAATAGGTATACAGGTATAGTTATTAAGGTCAATCAATATGTATTCCTGCACATGCACACAATAGCCTGAAACTCGCAGGTGCATATTCTTGCAGCTGCAACTTACTAGCAACCGCGAAACTGCACGAAATTACTAGCAGCTTCAGTTGCAAATTACTAGCAGCTTCAGTTGCAAATTACTAGCAGCTTCAGTTGCAAATTACTAGCAGCTTCAGTTGCAAATTACTAGCAGCTACAGTTGCAAATTACTAGCAGCTTCAGTTGCAACAATTCCATGCAATTTGCAGTTGCACATATCGTATTATTAATATTTAACAAATGAAGTTATATCGCATATGGTGTTTAATTACACCTATATGGACAAAAATACGAATTCCACAATATTCATTAATTATCAATAGTTTAGAAGAGTTGGGTTCGATGCTTTTTTTTCTGTTCACCTATTTGTGCCTTCATGATCTTTTTAGCTCTTGAGCCCCGCCTTTCCAGTGGCCTGTTAAACAATAAAATGACTCCCGACCTATTATCTCTATAATATGTAACCTCCCACTGCTGGTCAACCATAATGACCATCCCCAGAATGCAAACCACAACGCTATCCAACTCCAAAGTACCTTTTTTACTACTAATTGAACAAAGTTATAAGGTGAAAGGGAACGTTGCTGAAACGTTCTATCCTACGTGGGCATCGAACCTGGGAATCTTTGTTTGCAAACCGATGATGTGACCTAGTGCCTTAAGGGACCCTCTTCCCTTGTGTTCACCTAGTTGTGCTTGCAGAGGTTGAGCTCTGCTCTTTCGGCCCACCTCTCGACTGTCAATTAATCAACTGTTACTATTTTTTTCTCACCCCCACTCCCAGGAAGCAGCCCGTAACCGCTGTGTAACTCCCAGGTAACTATTTATTGCTGGGTAACAGGGGCATCAGTGAAAGAAACTGCCCATTTCCCTCTACCGGCTCCGGAAATCGAACCTGGGCCACAGGATTACGAGTCCCGCGCGCTGTCCACTCAGCTACCAAACCTCTCTGCGCGCGCGCGAGTGCGTATAAGGGGTGTAATGACTTTACCTGAGCAGGGTAATTGTATCCCTCGAGCACCGTCACGCAGGACTCCCACGTTAAGTACTGACGTCATTGGCTGCTGCTTCCCCGTCACCAGTGACGTCTGTGGTCCAATTTAATCAGTGATCGCCTTGGACTCTTAATACAATCGGTCAGCCCACTGCACTCTGCAACTTTTATTGACTAACAAGATGCCTAAATGGTTTAAAAAATTACTAATTATTATTATTCAACTGCAAGGCATATCAATAAGTTTTCAAGATAAATACTATTAGTGGCCGTGGACAATAAAAAAAATCGATGACTATCGCCAACAATAATGGTAAATGTCTAGATATGCTAAGGAGACACTTAATTGATGTTCAGTTCTATTATACAGTTTCCCGGTATTTCTGGCTAGGCTTCCTGCATACTTAATGGCCCAAACCACCAGTGACGGTCGATTTGATATTGTTCATACCCCATACCCATCCTGTGGGCGCAATACACACCTTATGGGCGGTGGTCGACGCCATACCCATCATGTGGGCGGTATAGTGAACCTCCTCTCCCCCATTCTCATCTTGTGAGCAGTATAATAAGTAATTATTGAATGAAGGCACCAGGCCGGGGAAACTATGTAGGTGTATAGACACTTGTAAATATACTATGAAGGGAAATAGTTTAGTGTTTAAAGCAATTTAATATATATTACGAATTATGTAAGTGTATAGTGAACCCTTCCCCCCCCCCCCATCCCATCCTGTTGGCAGTAAATAAAATGAACCCCCCCAATACTTATCCTGTGGGTGGCATAATGAACCACGTACACATTCTACGAGTGGTAATGTACCCCATACCCATCCTGTGGGTGGCATAATGAACCACGTACACATTCTACGAGTGGTAATGTACCCCATACCCATCCTGTGGGTGGCATAATGAACCACGTACACATTCTACGAGTGGTAATGTACCCCATACCCATCCTGTGGGTGGCATAATGAACCACGTACACATTCTACGAGTGGTAATGTACCCCATACCCATCCTGTGGGTGATAGCAGAATATGTTAAAAGGCAAATATAGGCTCGGGAACAGAACCCCCAAATTCACTTAATTTAAGCAAGTTATTCTTCATAACTTAGTTACACAGTTTAGTGTATATATTTTAAGTTTTTATATATACAGGTACCTGTGTATGTATATTATATATTTATATATATATATATATATATATATATATATATATAAACATTGCACAGGGTGCAATCCCTAAACAGTTGCCCAACTCCTGGGTAAACATAGGTATTAGGCAAAAGGAAACATGGCCAATCATTTCTGTCCTACCCAGGAATCATACCCACAATCCGCACTTACGAGTCCAGAACAAAGCCAACTATACAGTACTATACTATATACTCACTATATACTCCTATTTTTATTACTGTACACCCCTTTTATCCATTTGTATTCTTCATCTTGTCAGCCTTTATTTACATTCTCTAGAATGGCAAAGAGTAAAGTTTTTGTATATCTTTTCATATGAAACTTTGTCATACTTCGCTGAATCCGTTCAAGTGAATTTATGTCTATTATCGTAAAACAAAATTTTTATTGCATAAAAATAGTGCCTGACAAGAGTAAGATAAGGCTGAAGAATAACATCATTTTATTGCCAATGACTCCCAGTATCCTATTTGCATTATTCTGAACATTTATGCATTAATTTTGGGGGGCTTTAGATCCCTATTAAGATAACCGTCTTTCCCATTCAACACCATCATGTCGATTTCTGGTAACTTGTAAAATAAGACAAGTATGCCACCTTTCCCATAGTTTTGGGTGTCCTACTTGCAGTCGAGGTATAAGACTTGCCTCATAATTTCCCATGTGAAAATATATAAAGCAAAATCTACTTTATTATACCCAAAACACACTATAATGGTTGTATCTACAATACTTACCTCTTACAAACACACTTGGTTATAACAGTTGTTTAATGCAGTAATGTTTTAAACAAAAATAATGCAATAATCCAAAGTAAATGAAGTTAATTTACAATAAAACTCGGTGCACCAATCAGGTACAAATTCATTTATTTAAAATACTTTGCTTGTACCACCCCTAATGATGTGAAAATACAGAGTGAACATCATTAGGTAACATGTCCAATATAAACCTATTCATTAACTTGGTACAGTATTCAGGAAATAAATGTTCATGGTATGTCTGTTAGGCATAATAAATTTGAAAGAAAAATATAACATGCTTTGATATCCCTGAAATGATTTGAACATACTTAAAAATTATTTGAACAATATACTACTAACAAATAAAATACACAAACATGAAAGAATTAATTGGAAAGATAGCAAATATACTATGCAATCTGTTCACAAAGCATTTACATTGTTTAACCTTTCTACAACCTCTAAATTTGGCAAGCTGCTGCTGCTATAACCCCAGATCACCCATATTAAGCTTCTCTCTCTAAAGCCGACTAGTGTATCAAGCCTCCTGCCTCTCTTCCATCCACTGCAGAAATAAATGTACCATTCACTGGGAAACAAATTATAGGAAAAACACTAGTAATGTTTTAATAGTCCCAAAAGTTATATAAAACTGCTTTTGTATAAAGCCGTCTCGGTTTATTAATCGCGAATTTCAATCTTATCTCCTAATGACTGTTGCTACTGTATTTATACACAATTTTTGTATAAAATCAACTTATCCCCGAGATATGCAAGGAACATCCACTTCCTGCAATATTAAAAAATTATGAAAAAGCCTTGCCAACTAGCATTTCATAAAATACTATACATAAATTATACAATGCCATTCACATAACCAATGTACTAGAAGTATTATGCAACTAATATTAAAAGTCCCATGCTATTTCATCATTTATACACATTTGTTCTATACTTTTTTCTAGTAGGTCAGGAATAGTGTCCCCTGAAAAAGAGAGAAGATAATTACAGCACTTAAATTATACTTAGTTCTGCAGTACTGTACTAAATTGTAAACATATAATGCGTATTAAAATAACATAACATGTACATGATATAAATGTTGTAGTACCTAAACATGCCATGACTGCCATGATATATCCATACAATATGACCCTAACTATCGGGACCAATTGGTACCTCCAGATATGTAGATAACCAAGAAACCATTGGAATGAGGATGAAACATCTTCAGTCAGGTTCTCCTGGTAGTTCTCCATCATATGATATGTCAACATTTAAATTCTGTTCAGTGGAATTCACCCAAAGGAGTGTGAAAAATTAAGATAAAGTCAATCCTTTAATATGGTTCTGATCACATTTTTAAAGAATTTCTTGTCTTAGAAAAGCCACAGAGTAAATTTAACATTAAATTTTATGGTTCTTTTTCTTTTTTTGTTACAGTCACAAAATATGAAAAAATTGGTTATAATATGAAAATAGCATTGAATGTAATGAAACTCCTCTTTCTGGTAGAGCTCCCTGAAGCTATCTTCCTGAGATTGTTACATGCTAAAGGATCACATCAATCATGGAAGTTCTGATTGGCCCACAAGGGACCAGAGCCTGCCCCCCCCCCCCTCACAGAGGTGCTGGGATAAAGTGACTGTCCATCACACAACTTGGAAAGCATCAAGAAAATCAGCCAATCCAAAGATTGCATTTCCCAGGTCGCCTGCAGTGTCACCAAGTCTAGTCAGCCTGCTGTCTACCATTGGGCACATTACGTTCACAAATACGCTGTTTAGCCACAGTCTTCTCCAACATGTCCTGGGCTGATATTCAGGCTCAGGAGTTTTGGCATTCTAACAGGGTTCTGGCAGCCTGGTATTCAGTTAATATTCCCGGTCCCAGTCAGACTTGTGCTGCTTTGGACTGTATCTCCTGGTCTGGTTTCTCTTCCTAGTGCCTGCACCTCTCCGTCTTAATGGTAAGTACTATTCTCATTCTCTGTGCTACATGAGCTTTCAGGTAGCCATCAAAGTACTCCAGAAATCCAGTCTTGAATGTAATGAAACACCTCTTTCTACTACAGCCCTGGTGCCCTGATTTCCTCCCTCCCTCCCTTCCAGATTTATCAGCGAGTTGTTCATTAGCTCCAGAATTGACCAGAGGAGCTTGCTGCTAGAAGGGGCTGGGCAGTCTGGTGGTGACAATCAGTAATAATGCATTTTAAGCAAGTTTGTGTGAACTGTTTGCATAATTGCTTGGCAGCTTTCAAGGCTTTGTTTTCTGTGAACCTTCCAGTTGTCCATAAAGCTTTGTTGGCTTTCAGGATGCCTTCAAGGTGGAGTGGCAAATTGTTACCCACTCACTGTGCCTCTGAGGGGGCCAGGTTCTGGCTCTTGTCCCCAGTAGGCCAACCAGAACTTCCGGGACTGATGTGACCTTCCAGCATGGAGCCATCTTGGCAAGATAGTTTCAGGAAGTCACCAAGGGGGCTCCCTTAAAAATGCAATTTTTCAGAAATTTGAATCAGCTCTGGAAAGATATGATCTGGATTTTGGATGTTGAACTAAAAACAAAGTTATCAATGCATACAAAGAGCAATCATGTAAACTGTAAGGTTGCTCAGGTCTCGAGACCATGTTTGTCAGGTTGCCTCCCGTGTGGTGGTAGGTGTAGCAGTTACATTGGTGCAAGCCAACAGTTTGCTCTAACAATATTTAGTGATCCATTTCTTGCATGGCACATTGGTAACACACTCGCCCCGCGCTTCACAAGTGGTTTGGCCTAGGTTCGTATCCTGGCCGGGAAGGTTCAACTAGGCACCAATCCTTAACAATATGCCTCTGTTTACCCAGCAGTGACTGGGTACCTGCTTTTTAAAGGATTGGTGGATCATATTCCAGGGTAACTAGAGGGCACGGCTTACTATGAGGTATGGAAAGGAAAAGCTCTCAGCCTACTAACAGGAGTCAGGAGTCAACAGTCATCTGTTCCTCTACCCACTTGCATGATGGAAAAAAAAAAATGGTTCCTGAGTGTTCTGTAAAGTGCCCTCTCGCAGTTATATCAGGCATACCTGGAGCATACCTAAAGAGGGTTTCGAGAGTTCTTCTACTCCCCGAATCCAGCATGAGTCCAGGCTCAAGCTATGAACAGAATTTTCCAGTCTCTTCCTGGAAACTGAGGAAGGGCCAATTTGAAAAGATTAAAACAATTGTTACAGATTGTTGACCTGCTCAGCCTTAACAGACATGTCCTAGAGTCAGTAGATCCTTTGTCTTAGGAAGCAACTAAGTTCCAGAGCTCAGCTTGTGTATACAGTGTATATATATACATGTACTAGTATATTACATACTGTAATAATTTAGCCCGTCTTCTCGCTTATCTTATATCCACTAAAACTACAAACAACTTACTCTTTCAAAAATATTTGCATTTTTTCTTAAAAAGAAACTTAAAATTACAGAATACTGTATATAAATCAAGCAATATTTTTAATTAATTTTTAGTTTTGGTAAATGAGAAGTTCTTATACACTATGCTATGTGACATACAAAAGACTATAGTAAGCCAAAATGTTTGAAAACATTAGTAGAGTACTTTAGTTATTCAAAATAACATAAAAGATGCTGGTACAATAGCTACCGTGTGTATTAATCAAAATAACTGAAGGGTGTTATAAACGAAACTCATACAAGAATACTCGATAAATATGTACTGTATATGCAACTTGTGTAAAACAACCTCCTCCTCACCAATCTCTGTCTGCTGGGTTAATGGTACAACGGGATGGAGGAACTGTGGCAACGTCCCATTGAGCTTGCGAGTGTGTCTAATAAACTGATGGTGTAGGAGGTCTTCAGCAGAGGGTCGATTTTCTGGAATGCATTCTAAAGCTTGAGCAACAAAGTTGTGGGCTGCAGCTGTGAAGAGGCGTTGGGAAATAGCCATACTGGTGAGGTTATCGCCAACGCTACCACCGACACCTGAATCCGTCGCCATACCTACAAATCAAAATATATTTATGGGAATGGTAACAAACTGCCTGTCAGATTAAGCAGCATTATTCACATCAAAATCAACAAGTCTGTCTGATTCATGTCAGAATGGAAAGATAAGGTGGATGGTGTAAATCAAATACTTTAAGCTTAAAGCACAAGTTACACAATTCTCAAGCAACTTCAATACATTAGTGACCCCTCCCTCCCTCACTTTGAAACGAGGGCATTTCAAAAACCCTCGTAAACATCAATCCTTTTAACAATATAATAAAACCTACCTTGCCCATTTTCTGCATTCTGAGGACAGGTGGATGCATCATAAAGATAGGGCACTCGGTCTTCCAGCTTCTCTAACAGCATAAGAGTTGAAGGTATTCCTCTGTATGGTACTTCTCCATTGCCTAGTTCACAAACAACAATGCCCACACTGTAAACATCACTCTTCTCACTGTAACCATATAGATCCTGCAAACAGTAAAAACATCACAATAATTCTAATGCCAAGACAATATATACTCCTGTACTTTTGTATCCCTTCTCATAATAAATAGAGTACAGTACTATGAATTACAGAAAGGTAATGAATTAAATTTTATGTTATACAAGTAACAAATATGCATCACTTGTCTTCCTTCCTGTGGTAGTAAGTATAGTGAATTGCTCTGGAATGTTGTAGCAAAGAAAAAATAACGTAAAACATTTACTTTCATATTGGGAAATTAAAAACAATAGGTTTCACGCTAGGATTTCAGTTTGTTTATGCTCTTAACTGTTTCCTTTGAAACAACCATGCTCTTATCCAACTTAGGAAAGCACTCCAATACACAGCCTCTGCCTATCTAATCAGTCATTCATGAAGCACAGTATAAAAGGCTTTGCTAAAGTCACCACCTTGCCAATACTGTCACAAGTATGCCAAAAAAGAACAATGTAAATTTTGTAGCACACATCAATAAGCACACACATGTACATATGAATGAATCCTCACCTGTGCAAGCAATTCAGGGCTGGCCCAGTTAAGATTATAGCGAGCTTGGTGAGGATAACAATGGACGGATTTCTGCAATCTGGTGCTGTCCATAATGCAGGTGCTGTGTCGCAAACCACTCAAGGCAACACGGCCTATACTATCTATTAAAATATGACTCCCTCTCACTGCCCTGAAAAGTAAAAGTAAATTAAAATTAAAAAATTAAATAATATTAAAATATGACAAAAATAAGACATTATACTGTATAGGTAAAGCACCTTTCCCAGCAGGCCACTCCATTTCTTCCGGAGGCAAAATACATTCTGGCTGAATTAAGCAGTATTATGCCCAGTCAGTGAAGACACCACCACATGGATGCAGTATGAATCTTTCCAAATGTCCCTGGCAGGTCACGTACTGTGCTAAGGAGTCAACGAAGAATTATTCAATTCAGTCCGAGATAACCTCTAGAAAGTTCATCCATAAATATTCAAAGCTTTTCCAAGCCTTACTTGGCATCACAAGAACAACCCAGTAGCACTCAATTGCCAAGTTGGCCTGCCTGGCAGCTACTAGATGGCAACACCAAAACAAACGTCATTGACCAAAGCCTCCCAGTGTACTTCCTGACAAAGAGAAAAATCTATGGATAGAAGAAGCAGGAAAATGTGGAAAGCAATAGGGGCAACCTTGTTCACTGCTCATAATGAAGCTTTCCATTTACAGTACATTACTGTGCAATCAAAGCCCTAGTCCTGAGCTATACCACTCACTCACTCCTAAATGCAAGAGTGGAATTAGAAGGCAGAACAAATTTAAATAAATGGGCAGGACTCACCTGTAATGAAGCATCAGGGTCAGGAAACATCTGGCAGCCATGAAAGACAAAACATTACAGCATCCAGATCCCCATCAGAGGAGATGATCATCTGACTGATAGCTGACAAAGTGTTACAAACTGGCATCACAAAGGGGAAATCTTAGAGAAGTAGCAATCTACAAGTATGCAGTTAGACTTTCAAAATCTATGAGCTATAATGTTCGAACAGGAAATTGTCAAGAATGTATTCAGTTTGGTGAACTTGTGGTTGTGCTGGTGTTCCAGACAAGCCAAAACTATGTGAGATGTTGTGTCTGCTAAAGCCGGGATTCTGAAGCTTAATTTGCCAAGCACAAAAAAACAGAATCTCCGGTTATCAGTAAATCTTGAGAATATTCAGCCAGAAGGGAAAACGCCAAATAGTAGTACAGTATATGTGACCAACTAGGCTTACCATCCAATCCCTAAATTACAGATGGATATGGAAATGTCAGTATGTGTCCTAGAGATTCAAAGAAACATGCCATGAATGATTTGCTATCTGGCAAACAATAAACATAGTGATCATCCAAAAATACTGAATGGCAAAGTGAGCAGTGACCCTCAACAAGTCAAGGATCGTCATTCTCCTTTTGGAAGAATCCATCTTCACGACAAAACAGAAGAGACTAGACCTGCAATAAATAGGGCAGCTCGGTCACCTCTCTGTCAACATCTCTCAAATCTGGGTGTGGAATGGTGGAGTAGCACTAGGGAAATGAGGGGAACCTTGCTCGGGGGAGCCAAGACTGTGACCGAGTAATCCAGGGGTCAAAAACAAAAGGCCAGCTGATCTAGTCTGCCTGGCCTGCCATTACCTTCAACAAATTCAAAATAAGTATGCCCTTGTTATATACTGGTATTAAAATATTTTAATTTTTAAGCTCTGACTTCGCAAATGCCTCCTGAAAATTCAACTTTAAACACTTTCCTATACTGCAGGAGAATAACCCCACTGACACTTCAAAATATGTCTGCTATATGTGTACTTAGAACTTGATTCTCTTTACATTTTGCCGACATTCGGTCACACAAGGTGACCGCCAAAGCACTGAACTTGTGAAAATCAAAATTTCATGCAGGCTTTTTTCCTTTTTTAAATTTTCCCAGAAATATGTTTTTGAATCCCAGATTTATCCAACTTGGTGATCATGCAAAAAAATTAAATTCACAAAGTTGAACACTAAAGTAAGTAAACACAGACTCACACCAAGGTGACGTAGTAGGTAACTCACCTACTCTAGCCTGGAACCTGATTTAGAAAAACTTTCCCAAAAGAAACTCATAACCCCACACCCAAGGGGCACATCTTTCTCTGGACCCTGTCCTAGAACAGGTTGCCAGCCCATGATAAGCCAAGGCATCCCTGACACAAGCTTCCCAAAAAATCTCCAGACATCCTCGACATCATTGTCACTACGATCCATTACAAAACGTCAATCAAAAGAGGCCGCCAACAGCCCTAAAAAGTCCTTCAAAAAGTGAGCCGAGCCTGCCAGTCCCAACCAGAAGGGACAGCATACAAATGAGCTGCACTTATTTGGGAAACAGGCACAATAGACATTATACCAAACCCAAGAGTAAGAAAACATACACAACACCCCTCCTCAAGAAGGAAGAATGACTGGGCAATGCTCCTTAACTGTTCATCCCTGTTTGCCCAGCAGTAATTAGGGGACCTGGTTGCAAAGTAATGGAAGAGAATATTCCAGGGAAAACTAATAGTGCAAGGCTTAAGATGAGCAGGTTTCAGCCAGAACACACTGTGCAAAGCCTGAAATAAGAAATGCTTGTTCTTTAAAACATACTGTACCACCTCCTCAGAGAAGTAGAGGACAGAAAAGAGAAAAAAAAAAGTCCAAGAAACTCCTGGAATGTATCCGATACCACTTGCCTGGAGGCAAAACACACATTGAAAAAGTCGACAACTAAATCACAAAGGATTAACATGAATATTTTTGGCAAATCTCCAGCTGCTGCAGACACTGACACTCTTATGTCTCAAGAGCTCAACCACTCCAGCTGATCACAATTTGCTCGAGGCCGAGACAAGTGCTCCAGGCAGACGAGTCTTAAAGTCAGCTGTAACAAGTTTCTGCAATGATGGGGAAACCTGGACATAAGAATTGCCAGAAATTAACCTCTAGGGACAAAACATGAGCATAATGATCCTTACTGACTGATTTTGTTCATTTATTATGCACTGTATATCCATCCCATGGGCAGTAGTGGAAAAGGTTACAAAGGCATATAATGGGCTCAGGAACTGAACCCCATACAGCCTTATTGATTGAATAAAGTAATTATCAAAATAATTATTTATTGAATAACAACTATTCTCCACTAATACTACAATAAATGTTACAACATTTTTCTACTCTAGCACAAGGGTTCTGCAATACAACTTACTTCACACAAAATATGAAATGACCTGCCAAGTAAAAGGAGAAGGGATCCTGATATAGAAGCCAGGAAGCAGAAGTAGAATCAAACTTAAACAGACCAAAGATCAAGTCTTAGGCATGGTTCATGTCTCAACCAGAACATTAGTACCTTAGGCATAATATACCAAATGTGAGGCAAAAGAGAAGCAACATAGTACTCAAAACTTTCTTTCAATCTAAATTCACATTCTAGAAACCATGGTCATCCTTAATTAAGCAGAATGCTTTTAATTATTCATCTCTTGAGAAAAACTTCACTGAACTTGCATCTTGAACATTAATATGAAATAAACTTAATGTATACTGTACAATGAAAACTAGTATAATAAAATTTACCTGTGAATGATGCGTTTGGAATGAAGATAGGAAAGACCATGCAAGACATCCTTTATAACAAGTGCAAGAGCAGGCTCAGGTAGGCCGTCTGAGAAGTGTGTGGCGACAAGACGTGAGGCCGAAGTGTAACCTAATAACGGCATTACTATCCATAGTTGTTGTGAATATATAAAGGAAGCCATATACTGGATGATATTTCTATGTCTGAGCTGCTTCACCATCAGAATCTCATGCTGTAAAAAACAGTATTTAAGTATTTACATTCATGAATATGACTTTAAATAAATAAATTATAGTCATGAAATCTCAATTATATATCGCAATAAAATATATAGAGAAATAGGTATACCTACTTGGATTAACTCAAACTCATCTTCACATTTATCCAACTCATAGATCTTAAGAGCAACATGGTTGTTTGATGGCTTGTGTCTGGCAACCCACACTGTGCCCTTACCACCGCACACAGACCCAAGAGGGCTCCACACATCGTAGTTCTCAGTTGATGCCTCAAAGGACACCATGCTGGGAGACCGTAATTCCAATGCAAAGCTCTCCGACTTTATGCGGCTCTAAAGAAAAACAGCTATGATGAATTATCAGTTTGTATGAATAATCTACACAGTTCTTCAACATACTGATCAATTACTTGCAAAATTAACAGGCTGTGAAGGATTATTTTGTCAAAGTAACGATATTTCAGTATCGTATGTAATTACCTCAACACTTTTTTCCAGCTGCATCTGATTTTCCATCATGTTCCCACAGAGGGTCGAAATGGAACTAAACTAAACAATTTATTCTAGTAATTAGAAAGCTCACTCATTCCATCTACAGTATACCTTAAGAATCATTAAAAAATAAGGGGCTGAATATAATAATAATGCCCTGTTCTGGTGGACAACTCGGGAGCTCCCTAAGCTGAAGCACTGATTCTGCCAAGCCTTAGTTAATCACACCAGTCCTTTAAAATCCAACCTTGTTTACCAGGAGCCAGGGCCAGAATCTGGCTTGCTCTATGAGAAGAGAGTTTGAGGATCAGAGGTCATCCCACAATCAAGGAAAAATCCACAAGAAAGGATAGGTGTTACTAAATGAATGACTTCTTGATGGAAATAATCACTGCCACAGGGTAAATGTGCCTGACTGCCACCATATCACCCAGTCTCAACCACCATATGATCACTACATACAAAATAGTAACAGGAATTGATAAAATCGATAGGGAAGATTTCCCGAGACCTGGAACTTTAAGAACAAGAGGTCATAGATATAAACTAGCTAAACACAGATGCCGAAGAAATATAAGAAAATTCACTTTCGCAAACAGAGTGGTAGACGGTTGGAACAAGTTAGGGGAGAAGGTGGAGGAGGCCAAGACCGTCAGTAGTTTCAAAGCATTATATGACAGAGTGCTGGGAAGACGGGACACCACAAGCGTAGCTCTCATCCTGTAACTACACTTAGGTAATTACCAAAACCCCCTTATTCATGAGTTACTAGTACTGAACCCCATAGTCCCCACAGTGAGGAACAGCACAGGGAGTAACCGAGGGGCTCACCAGAAAATGTTGCTTCACAACGGCATCTCAGTAGAGAACCCTGGCCCCTGTTGGAATGAAATATCAAGTTTGAACACACAATGCAGTCAGTTGGCATAAAACTAAAAATATTGTAGTGCATATGAAAATGATAAAAACAATGGCCAGACAAAACAATTGTTCCAGGGAAAGCCTGTCACTTAGCTGAAAATGAGAGAGAGATCATCAACCACACAGAGGTTGTGCATAACGATCGGCATCAGGTAAATGAGATAGCGGGCTGGCCGAGATCCCGTGTGACCTGGGCAGCCATGTGGTTGCAATCGAACACATTAATGGTAGGGGGTTTACCCTGCAACATCGTTTATTTCCTTCAAGCTGTATTTCTGTAATTGAACTTAATATTTCTGCCAAATTCTTTCTAGTGTTTTATTTAATTTACATTTCCAAATTCCTCTTGCCTTGAAGAGTGAGCCAGAGTTTGGTCCTGGCTTCCAGTAGGCAAGGGTGGGTCTCGGAGTCTGGTACAATTGGCCATGGCTTCGTGGACCAATGCTTAAGCTCGGGGGGGGGGGGATGCTACTACTGAGAAGGACCCTCCCAGAATAACAAATAAATGTTGATAAATGGTTTAAGATCTTGGAGCTTTATTGCATATAACAAAGCATTTCGTATATGATATATCGAGGAGGAAAAGGACAACTCATTATCATGATTTATGGAACTAGTTGTGTTTGGTATATTCTATATATATACAGTATATATAGTATACCATATTCAAATGCTTCCCAAGGATTTTAAGGAAGTCAGTCATGGGTGACCTCACAGCTTTGCTAACAAAAGTATTTATCCAAGTTAGATTAAATCTGAAAACATTGAGAATTTTTGCATAAGGAATGGACCTTTAAAAATCCCCCTAAACACGCAGTAGTACAAGACTTATCACGCATCCTCTCCCAACCTTTTGTCCTCTAGCATGTATACTCACTCAACTCTCTCATTCTATCCTAACCAACTGAATTTCATCCATACCCATTTCGTGACAGGGATGTAAAGCAATCTTAGAACTTGAGAGGTGAATTGGTAACTGGAAAAAAAAATACAAGGCCCACTGTCCTCAGTAGAAAGACAGTCACAAAAAAGGGAATACTGTAGTAGAGGATGCAACTGTATGGAGAAAGTTGTTAAAATTAGGAACTGGCACCTAGCAAGTGTCTTCAAAAAATAAGAAAATAAAGAAGTCTGCTGATTCCAAATTTACTGAGTAAGGAAGAGGCTCCACTGTGTAAGGATAAGCCACTCCAGTATAATACTAATCTTGGGTGCAAGCTAAACTTTTTATATTATAGAATAATATATGCCTGAATGAATCTATGTCACTTTCCAACTTGAAATAAAATTACTGTATTAGTATGTATTACAACATAAATGAGCTTATCAGCAAGGTGATTGAAAAGTAGCAGAATGCTTTCCACATTAAGTGTTGTATTTCCATGCTTTACATGTACAAGTACTTTGTACCATAAACACAATAAAACCACATAACATGCTTAAATTATCCACAACACACATATAATAATAATAAACAATACAATTAATTACATAATGAGGGAAATGTCATACATTGCAAAAGATAACTTTAATAAATTAAAAACTAAATACAGTAACATAAAAAAATTGTCATATGTGAAAGAATGCCAATGAAAATCATTTGACAGATACTATACTGACCAGCCAGCATTAGACAAAACTGTACAGTATTATGAATATCTAAACGATGTAATAATGTATAATTTTCATTAATACAGTATACAGGTATTAAGATATTACCCAGTATGAGCTTAAATAATTAGCACAATACAACTTAACTTTACCATCTATTTTTCTTCTGTGCCACTACACAACTGTCCTCCTTGCAAGGACAGAAAAATTTTCTTTTTTAGTATTATCAAAATATCAAACAGCAAATATCAAATGTAAAACATTACTCCCATAGAAACAAAAATAACAACCTGAATATTACCAGCATTTAAGAAATAAATGAGACAAAGCACAATTTAATTATACAGTACTGAGAAAATTTACCAAAGGACAAGTTCACAAGCCATATTTAAAGGGAAACAAACTAACCCAAACCAAATTTTTAGCAAGCAGAAGACTGCAAACACGTAAACAGAACAAGAAATAAAATTGCTGCGTACAATAACCATGCAAAATGAAAGAGTGCAAACCCCAGGAGCCGGGCAGCACAAGACACATTGGCTCAGTATCTTACGAGGGGCTGGTATGCAGTGTCAGTATGACCTAGGCGCACATCTACGCGCACATCAGGGGAGACGGCCAGATTGGCTATGCGGGAACACGCACACGGACAATCAAGGCACGACATGACCCACAGACTGACAGAAACTGACACTTTCTCAGACTGAGTGAATGAAGAGATGCTGATGTGTGTCCTAGACTGCTCCAAGAGTCCAGAGTCCAGTGACTGCAGTACACCTTTTATTTTAATGCTTGCTCCAATGCCTGCCACAGGAAATAACAATGATGTGAATTTATTTATATTTTCAAACAAGTTCATTAGCTACTTTCAAGTATAATAATACCTATCGTGTAAGTCAATGCATAACTTCAGTGAATCAATCAATCAATATCATGTGTAGTTTTTCCATCATTCCAAACACCTAATCTTCAGTAAATTTATCAATTAGAAACAACCATACAGAAACAACTCCCAAAACACTCTGCTGGGGGAAATATGTACATCAGTGAAACAGCTGTCATTTGCATGTACACTCGACAGAATAACAAAGGCTATGTTTAGCCAGTGACCACAGAAAGGAAAATTAAAGTAAAAAAATCATTAATGATAAAAGTTGTCAAACTGAAACAAAAGAAAACAAAACAATGGTTTTAAGGAGAGGAAGACTTTATGAAGTTGGGGAATGTGCTACACACAAGTAAATAGTGCTGAAATAAGATTTAAGGCAAAGAAAACACACAGTTGAAAGATCAGGCCAACTGGTCTGCAGTTTATCCTTTCTCTTAATATAACAAATACCATATATCAAAAAGCCTGGTACTCTTAAAGTCCCAACACCAGTATTGATGTCTACTTTGAAGGAGTTTACCAAAGCACTGAAAGTAAATATATAGTACTGTACTAGTAATATTTGTATTCTTTAAACCAAATTTAGAATTCTGTAAGAATTTATGAATAAGAAAGCTCAGATATGATTGATTATTTCAGTTTTAAGGCAATAAGAAAAATTTGATATTGTACACAATGAATGAACAAAGGAGCATTTAATATGATTTTTTTAGTTAAATTACTGAACATTTGAAATCTTCTAAAAGCTGAATGAAAGACCATTATGTTCCTGAGCTATCTCAGTTGCTAAGGTAAGTTTCTACTGTCCTTATAGGCACTTCATTATGCAATTAGGTAAGGGAACATTCTAGTACCAATGCTATAGGGGAACTTTACAAGCCATCCCTGCAATCACAATGGTACAAGGGAGCAGCAGAAGTTATCATCAGACTAGAATAGCCACCAGAAGATCCAATTCACATAAATTAAAGCCCTCCTTAACACCAGCGAGTGCTCTAACAACCAACTGGCCACTCTCGCCACTTACACTGGATGCCATTCGTGTGTGGCTCCCTAGAATAACAGTTCCTTCCAGTCTCACCTCACATTCTTTCTGACTACAAATCTAGTTTTAAAATCTAGCCATACATAAAATTAGTTATGTATAATAAAGTATAATAACAAAAAATAGTAAATGTTCAACTAAATAAATTGGGGATAGGGCTGGAACTATCAAATTGCCAGCATACAGAATGTTTATAGGGTAAATATTATGAAGGAAATTTATATAGCATGTACTGTAAATCCAATGACTAAGGGAAGGAAATTATCAGGAGAATGTGCCAAGCAATTATGACTATATAGTACTTGAAAGGGGTCAGGATAAGGATTTGGGATGGGGCTAGTGAAAGGAATGGTGCCCAACCACCTGGATGGTCTAGGATTGAATGTCGACCTGCGTGAAGCGAGACCGTCGCTCTACCGTCCAGCCCAAGTGGTTGGGCTAAGCATAATAAATATAGACATAACATGAGACTTCTGAAGAATTACTTTTGTAATTCGAATCTCCTAGTAATTTGAATGAATTCACATCGAGTTTTTGACCTTTAAACTCAAATAGGAGTTCAGATTACCAAGATTTCTGCCAAACAAGTGGGGGATTCCTCTGAAGATGGGGATTCCTCTGAAGGTGGGGATTCCTCTGAAGGTGAAGTGACCAAGAATGGGGTAGGGAGGCCTCAAGAGAAAAAAAAAAGTTCCCTGTTTATCAAGAAAACCATAAAAACTAGGAAGGGTAACCTAAAATAAAGTCATGTGGGTTAAAAGAAGTTAGGGCATGAAATGTTGGACAAGAGAAGGTAGATCAGGAATTTGCACACCTATACTGTGTATACTTTAGGTAGTGTGCAGAACAGCACATCGTGTACCCTGAATCGACGAACTGCCCCACCTCTCTCCTAACATATAAACAGTGGCATTGCATGCATGTCAGGTAGTTTAGAAAGCTTGTTACTCCCCCATTCCAAAATTATGAAATGTGTTGTGGTTTATATGTTTTTGTGTGTATAATTTTCTGATTTGCTTATAGCCACAGTGCCCAACATTTGCTTTACCACTTTGTTCAGGGACACATGCAATTGGTGTTGAGTACACTTGGCAGTTTCCTTACCTTGTGTATGACCAAGGGTCCATTATATTACCTGCCTTTTGAGAAGTTTCCTGCTGTGCTGGTACAACTGCCACCCTGCTTGACTGATAATTCCTACAAAGTCAGTGGATACATACAAAGAGAACAACCAAGGGACTCATTCAGAAATGTTTATTTCATATACGGTACACTCAAAGCCAATTTAAACATCTGCAAATTTAAGGTAAATACCAACGTCTTGTTACCTTATGATAAGACATTCCAGGTGATCCTTACAATACAGTGACACTGTCTATCATACAGAACTTCAGCAATGGCAGATCTTCTGTTCTAAGAACATCAAAAAATAAACATACAAATATATATGCAAAAGTGATTAAAAATTCTAAAAAACAGCATGAGAACCTAATACATCACAAAAGCAAAATAAATGTGCAAAACTATTAAATACAAAATTAATACAAAATACACTTAAATACAAACTCTTTTCTATGTTGTGTCTTGTATGGTTTCCACGGTTGAGGACAGGAGCCTCATATACCAACGATGGACCTTCTCCAAGATTCAACGCGACAGTTACCTACCTCCTCCTAGTCGGCTATTTACCGCTGGGTGAACAGAGGTATCAAGTGCAATGCAACATCCATAAATATATTACCCTGCATGGAACTGAACCTAGGATCTTTCAGCTGTGAACGAACTCTGTTGACCACCACACTACAGTAGATTACACTGGCACTTTTTAAATATAGTGAACGAACTCTGCTGACCACCACACTACAGTAGATTATACTGGCAGTTTTTAAATATAGTATGTGTGTATATGTTAATGTAATTGGCATAAATGTATGATAAACTTCATGTAATGAGTTCATATGTGGAATAAACTTCATGTAATGGTGTCAAAGTGAAATAATCTTAAAAGACAGGCGACTCAAAATTGTTGCTACAAAAACAGTCGATGTGATCTGATCTGGGACCTTACCACCTACAAGTATTCCCGAGCAACTTTATTAGTTATTCATTCTCATTATCTCCTGGGGAACAATATCTCCAAACCAGATAATAAGTTTTTTTTTGTTTTTTAAATTCAGTACACAATGAATTATCTTCAACTAATTTCTAAGCAATGCACATCGTTGTCCTCAGAGGCCAACGACAACTGTATTCAGAACCTGTCAGTAAAAGCAATTGTGGGTCAAGTGAGTGACATCACGCTGCATACCAACACAGTTTTCTTTGGGTTTTGGATCGAATACTTTATCTGTTGTGTTATCCTATAGCCAAATGCTGTAGTATCCAACATTTAATTTTACTTCAGTACTTCCCTTTCACTTTAAGTGTATATACTGTATTACTTACATGTACAGTACAGGTACTTGAATTAGCATACTAAGCATTGCAAATATTTTGCAGCTATTAGTACAGTTGGGGTTCGTTCTAGACTCGCAATCGAGAATTCCAGGTTCAAATCCTAGGTGGAACAGAAATGGTTGGGTGTGTTTCCTATTACCTAATACCCTTGTTCACCTCTCAGTAAATAGGTACCCAGGAGTTGGTCAGCTTGTTGTGGGGTTGCCCAACCACTTGGGTTGGATGGTAGAGGAACGGTCTTGCTTCACGCAGCTCAACGTTCAATCCCCGACCATACAGGTGGTCGGGCACCATTTCTTTCCCTCATCCCATCACAAATCCTTATTCCTTCCAAGTGCTATATAGTCGTAATGGTTTGGCACTTTCTCCTAACAGTTCCATTCCCCTATTTTGGGGTTGCAACCTAGGGATTGTCAGCAATTTGATATAGACTTTGTGGGGGACCTCGATATAAGCCCACATATACATGTATATACACTGGCTGCCTGTCCCCCAACACAATGAATTATTATTACAAATAATCTAGGCAATGTGAATTTGAAAAGCTATACCAAACCACTGATCATCAAGTCAGCAAAATTGTACGGCTACTGTTAATGGTAAAATCCTTCCTGCTCCCAGATTCTGATGGATATGTTCCCATGGAGAAAGTCAGCAGTGGCCCTTGTGTGCTGTGATGAACTTTTTATATTGTATCGAAATGATTATGGCTACTGAGGAAGCTGTATACAAAATTGATAGGTATACTTTGCCATTTTCTAAACTATTTTGTTTTCATTTCTGATGTTCATTTACTCTTATTAGGTAAGGAAAGGATAGATTAGGCAGGGCTTAGCTATGATAGGCTAAGTTTAGCAAAGTTAGATTAGGTTAGGTAAAGTGGTGCACGAGTAGCTGACTCGCCATCATTTTTCTTTCCCTCAAAACAGAGAGATTTTCTATATTTAAATTAATTACAGTAGTGGGCACAGCATTTAACAATAGGATTGCCACCAGATACCTGAATTATCAACTACATGGTTGACTATACAGCCACTGAAGCAGTAATCCTAGGGTTTAATGGTTTAGCCACCACTGTCTTACATATAAATATTGTATAGAATACTGTACCACGTCTTGTTTTCTGTTGTGAGGAAGGAAAAATGGAAATGACATGTCAGCAATGCAAGCTTTATTAAACCTTCCCAAACCTGGTAGTAGACACACAAAGTGCTGATAATGATAAAGAGGCAAATAATAGGTGCATACTAGAGATGTATATTATACCCTGTAATAATTGACAAAATACACATCAATGAAACTTTCCAAAATTCAGATGAAAGGATTAACAAACAATGGTATACAGTACTTGCTATGTTGATAATACCAACTATGCATGTTTCACACATGAGAATCAATAGCAACATTTCATGAACTTAATCATCTAAGAAGTAAACATCAGGATAACAAATAAAGACTACTACTCTTGCTACATTAATAAACCATAAATATAAGCACACACAATCACAATCCTCACCTTTGCCTCTCTGACGTTATCTTTACCAATTCCCCCTTTTTATAAGCATTAGCTCTATGTATCTGTTGGATTTGATATAGCCCTTACTGGCATGATGTCATCCACAAATCAAGCCCACTTTTATCTTAAGTGTTTCTCTAACCAAACTTAACTAAACCTTATCATTGCCTAACTTAACCAAACTAGTCTGAATAATGTGCATGATGCTAAACAAACAAAAAAAGTAAAATATAATGACAGCTGGGTAATCCTCTGGTGTTTACAATGTTATCTTAGTATAAGTATAAATTTCACAATGAAACAATGAAAAAGATTAGTTTCCACAGAATTCTGTGAGCAACATGATTTTTACCCTTTTCAACAAGTGGTAATTAACACCTATTTTAATCTTATTTTTTTATATATATACAAGAGTTCTTACATTCTTGTAAAGCCACTAGCACGCAAAGCGTTTCAGGCAGATCCTTAATTCAATTTTTTTCCCCGGAATACGACCCCGGCAAATCGTTTAACAACCATGGACCCATTCACTCTTGGGTGAATAAAGACAACAGTTAAGGATTGGAGCGCAGTCAATCCTCGCCGGCCAGGATACGAACCCAGGCTTGAGTAGCTTGCGAAGCGCCGGGCATGTGCTTTACCACTACACCAGGGGGACTGCCAAGGAAATAAACGCCATGTGTCCCCGTCATTCCCTCACTCACAAACACTCACTGTATCTGATGCTACCCACTCACCCAATTTTTGTACAGTACTCGCAACTTTAGAATAATCAACACTTTAATTTATATTGTAGTTATGTTGAAATCAAATTCTGCTACAATGTACCTATTAATACTCTTACTTTATCTGTTAGGTTAAGGACCTGCCCAAAGCACTATGCGCGTTAGTGGCTTTGCAAGAATGTAAAAACACAGTGTTATGTACTCTCATAACCCATTGTACCTTCTTGCAATTAAATAAAAAAATAAACTTACACATACTAACCTTTCATTCACTACCCCACGCTCACCTTCAACATCACAATAACCCCATAGTAATGGCACTTCTGTCAAGTGAAACCCCCGTCACTCTGTCATCCTCATTCACTCTCCCGCTCCTACACTCATTGACTCACTCAGATATAGGGAATTTTATTCAACAAACAGTTTACCTATGAATTTCTCAGACCTAACCAAACCCTTCATAAACAGGTTTTAAGTTAGGTTTTCCATTTTTTCAACTCTATCTGCAAATAACCTATCTTACCCCATCTTAATCTACACAGTGCAAATACCTAGTCTAGCCTAGCCTATAATCCACTCAAAAGTATAAAAAAAAAAATGCATGGACAAATAATATGGCTTATAAGTATTAGTATGGCTGTGAGTATTAGTGGTTTTAGTAATAGTATATACTGTACTGCACTTGTATCTAGAAATTCAACATTATGTGTGTAGCTCATTTTGCATGTATGTACTTTTCTCCCTAAATAAACATTATGAAGACCAGTTGCAAAAGGGGCCAATTTGATGTCATTGCAATATATACAATGTGTGAAGTATAGTGTGAGTTTAATACTAGCCTCATACAGTCACACACTCATACACTCACCCTTCCACCTGTCCCACATAGCAACGCCCTGAAGAATGTTCACCATACACCCCCACAACACTAATAGAGTGTACCTGCCCCTCCACAGGAGTGTGACTGACCCCCCAAGACAGTGACTGACCTGGCAGCACAGCTAGAGTGAGGGTCAGGCGCCGCCTCACACTAGGCTCACACTGAGGCTCCTAAATCACCGTCTTGGAACAACGGAAACTGTAAGGACCTGTGGCAGTCGTTCCACGCTCGCCTTGTGTCTCTTATGTTGTGTCTTGTGACGAAATAGTTATTTTATATGCATTGATCAAGTTTGTAATTGTATGTATTTGTATATTTTTATTTGGAGAATGTTGGTGGTGGTGGAATGTTATAAGTGTTGTAAGGCGGTGCTGCTCGCCGGGGCGAGTCCCGCGCCCTTTGGAGACATTTAATTATGTGTTTTATTTTGGCTTCCTGACAGTTAAAATAATCCCATTGAACACACTCCTTTATGTATCTTACACTCCTCTCTCCCTAGCCAATATATTACTTGAATCCTAGTTTCTTTATATGAGAAAAAGGACCATATAATAGTTCCGTCATATGTCTGATAACTATTGAATTAATGTAAATGTACTCATATTTATATTTATGTAAATGTGTTCACCTAATTGTGCTTGCAGGGGGAGGGTGAGCTTCGGCTCTTTGGTCCCGCCTTGGAACCGTCAGTCAACTATGCCAGATTCATGAAGCGGTTACGCAAGTACTTAAGAAAGTTGTCGTTCTTACCACCAGTCGTGGCAGTTATGTTGGGACAGGAAGACGTTTAAGAAAGTCGATCTTACTAAGAACACCACCTCGCGCTACGACACCTCCAGACCAGTCATAGCTTTATAATAATAATTTATTTGCAAGACGGTACAATGGATTGGGTTTTTTATTAACAAACTTAGGTATACACAGCAATGTGCTGTTACGCTATTCTATATGAAAGATTACACAGTGTAGATAAAAAACTAGCTATAAGTTCATCTAACATTCCCATCTCACAGAATGGTTAGTCAAACATGAAGTCAGGGGAGAATATACCAGCCTCAATACAAAAACAAATCAACTCTGAGTAAAAAATCAGGAGAGAACATATGAAGTGTAAGGCTGATCTATTAGCCTCCACTAGCAAAATCTGGGTACAGCACAAGAATATCTTCCAATATTCCCGAGTGTATGAAGTAATTACAGAGCTCAAAGTACCTCATATCATTGAAGTCACTTATAACAGGGCAATCACAGATATAGTGTTGGTGAGTATGTCCCAGCTCTTGTTCATATAGTTTAAAATTAGAATGCTCACCTTTGGGAGATTCATTACCTGCAGCCACCTAGCTGCCATAGATATCGATATCCCAGCCTAGTTCTAGCAATTACAATGTCACACTGTCTAGTGGATGTTTTATGCTGCCCGTACATATAATTCTCTGTTCTAAATATGTCATAGCTGTTGATACTCGTGCTTTCTGGCCTTTGTGTGTGTCAGTAATTGCTTTTATGACTTTCCTAATTTTTTGAGATATTGTGTTTTTTACAGCAGAGTTTGAAATGCCCATATCCAACTCAATTTCAGGCTTATCACATGCAGATTTAGCTGACTTAATGTCTGTGCCATCATGCAGGACAACACCTGTGTGAGATGGTATCCATACAAATGAGACTCTGAAACTTTTGCTCTTTGCATTAATAATGTTGATTATAATGGATGTTATGAGATGTTTGGGATGTCATCCCAAAAGAAGAAAGAAAGAAAGGGAACAAGATGGAAGATACTGGTAGTAAAAAGAGCGCTAATAACTAAACGGAACCTCTGGAGACGGTATAAATCCATAATGAACATCATGGATTATGAGATATATGAAAGGGCATTAAACTCAGCTACCCAGGAAATCAGATTAACCAAAAGATTCTATGAAAGAAAACTTGCCTAAAACATAAAGGAAGATCCAAAATCTTTATATACTTGTATACGAACTAAAACCAAAACAAAGGACTTTGTAAGACCCCAAAAGATGAGACTAACCAAGTTATATTGGATGATAAAAGGGGCAGCAAACACTCTGAATGAATACTTTACATCAGTGTTCACACTAGGAAGATTGAACGATATCCCATCACCCACACAAATTTTTGAAGGAGGTAGAGAATGAATTAAGGATATACCCATTACATGCGACACAATCACGAAGAGTATTGAAAAACTAAAAAACTCAAAAGCCTCTGGTGTGATGGATTTCAATCAAAAGTCGCAAAGGAACTGGCAAATGCATTATGCATACCACTGAAACTCTTTTTCGGAAACTCTGGACCAAGGGATAGTGACCCCTGGATTAGAAATATGCAAATGTTTCCCCTACTTTCGAAAAAACAGAAAGAGCTTGGTAGAAAATTACCGTCCAGTCAGCTTGACATCGCACATCTGCAAGCTCATGGAGAGAATCCTAAGGGAGGGAATCATACAACATCTCACAGAGTAAATCTCACATCTTGTATAATCAACATAACATGGGTTTGTTCAAAATAGATCCTGTCTTACTAACTTGCTCACATTTCTGGGAACGGTAACCGGCTATTCAGACGAAGGACTTCCTGTAAATGTAGCTTCCATGGACTTTGTTAAAGCTTTTGACAAGGTACCACATGAGAGACTGGCAAGGAAATTATAGGCACACGAAATAAATGGGAGAATACTGAAATGGATAAAACAATGGTTAAAACGTAGAAAACAAAGGGTCGTGCTAAATGGGAATGAATCTGACTGGAGAAATGTGCTAAGTGGGGGTGCCACAGGGGTCCATTTTGGGGCCAACCCTTTTTGTAATATACATCAATGACATAGATGAGATTATTACAAACCACATCATAAAATTTGCTGATGACACTAAGATCTATGGTTAAGTGGGAAGTGAAAGTGACATTGAGACCTTATAAAGAGATCTACATGAACTCCACAAATGGTCAGATGACTGGCAAATGCTTTTTAATGTCGATAAATGCAAGACCTTGCATGTGGGGCATAACAATCCCCGTCACAACTACCAAATTGACAGCACTATCCTACATGTGTAAATATTTAATTGAAAATGATCTGCCACCAGAAATCTTAGCCAAATATCCCCAGTTTGCTAACTGTAGGTAGTAACTGAGTGATTGTAACCTATCCATCACTGCCCACTGGATGGGGGGGCGGTGTGCAGGACAAACATATCAGTTGTGACTCTAGCTCTCTACATATGCCAATAACTTAATTTAGATACTGTACTTGTAGTCGATCTCGAACCCATTGATGATGTGACGATGTGTATTGAATTTTGTAACTAGCTCCTCAAGATTGTAACTTGCTTAGCTAAATGAATTTTGAGTTCAGTCCCTGAGCCCATTATGTGTCTCTGTAACCCTTTCCACTACCGCCCACAAGATGGGTATGGGATGCATAATAAATGAACTAAACTAAGCTACCTTACAGCAGATAGACGAACAAAATGACCTTGGAGTCAGAACCCATCATTCACTTAATGTTGCATAACAAGTGCAGTAAACAACCCCACTTGCATTATTGCATCCAAGCATGCAGACCTCATCTTCAGATTCAGTTATTAAGGTTACTTAACATGTATCCCTGCACATGCACATCATTAGCTACAACTCGCAGTTGCAAAATTCTAGGAACTGCAGTTGCAACTTACTAGCAACCGCTAAGCTGCAAAAAATTCCAGCAGCTTCAGTTGAAAATTATTAGCAACTGCAGTTGCATCAATTCTATGCTATTTGCAATTGCAAATATTGTATTATTAATATTTAAAATTAATAAAAAGTTATGTCGCCTATGGTGTTTTATTTCACCCGAGGCACAAAAAAATAATAATACAGTGCCCCATGAGTCTGTATACTAATAATACAGTGCCCCATGAGTCAGTATACTAATAATACAGTGCCCCATGAGTCTGTATACTAATAATACAGTGCCCCATGAGTCAGTATACTAATAATACAGTGCCCCATGAGTCAGTATACTAATAATACAGTGCCCCATGAGTCAGTATACTAATAATGCATTGCCCCATGAGTCAGTATACTAATAATGCATTGCCCCATGAGTCAGTATACTAATAATGCAGTGCCTCCATGAGTCAGTATACTAATAATGCAACACCCCATGAGTCTATATACTAATAAAATTAATGCAGTGCCCCATGTTCGTACAACCAACGTTTTCCGAACGGTTGTGACTTGGGCGAATTTCGGGCAGAAATTTTTCTGCCCGAAACGCTACGCGTACTATTGGCTTTACAAGATTATAATTACTATACTATGTATCCTCACAATCCCACTGTACCTTCTTGTATATATAAATAAATAAATAAATAAATAAATAAATAAATAAATAAATAAATAAATAAATAAATAAATAAATAAATAAATAAATAAATAAATAAGTCTGCGCATGAGAGCGTCGCTGAACCTCCGGGAAGTCGACGCTCCTCCAGCGTCCAGCCTTATCATTATACATTTAGTTAATTGTTTTTAATTTTTAATACCGATATTAATTAAAAAATAACGATTTAGTTTCGTATAAATAATTGCCCCAATTTGTCTCCAAAGAGTAGAGCAAACATTTTAAGCTCGTACTATTTATTGACCATTTTAAAGTAATTAACTATAATAGTTAAAAGCTCAGGAAATATATTTTGAGTTATATTTTGGTTGACAATAAAGAAAATGGTGTATGTTTCAAGAGGTGAGAGGTGAGATGTATGGGAGTATAAATAAGTTTAGGCCCGGCGGAGAAACAACATCGACGGGTCGGTGTGGCTGGAGGAGGCGAGGACCTGGCAGCTGACGCCCTTACTTACCGCTCTCGCCACACATATACTACACAAAATGAGTCGCCGCAAGTTCGACGAAATGTCCGATTACGGTAAGAAGTGTCAGAGTAATGCTGTGATGCGCGGGCTGGTCGAGAGGTGGGTGTGAGAAGCGGTGTTTGAGGGTATGGTACTGGGAACTTTGCTTGGCCTCCCCGGCTTCCTGCCTTCTTTCCATAATTATTGACTTCTCTTCTGGTGGCGACGGGTTGTTTGGGCTCCATTTGTGGGTGGTGGGTATTTTGACCCAATGGGAGGAGTGGGGGGTTGGGTGTTTTGAGTCCAAGCAGAAATGTCAGTATGGAGTGGCAAGCATTTTTGCCTCAGCTCAGATGTGGTGTTGGTATGGGCAATGGGAAGGAGGAGGACGGCAGATCAGGGCCCAGTTAACAGCGACAGATTTTTGTCTTGGGAAGTGGGAGTGGGCTGCCTACCACACCTGCTGTCCAAGCAGCAGGTGTGGGTAGGCAGTTCTGTGTCGTGGTGGAGGCCTCTCCCAGCTACACTCTTACTTTAGACTAGGTAAAATTGGCACTTATGGCCAATAGAGAGATATAGATATTAGGTGTCCTTGGAGTGAGCTCTTGTCACTTGATCTGAGATGATTTTTTTTTTTTTTTCTTGGCCGGACTCATCATCTGGTCCCTTTTTTTTATCTGATGATGAATGGGGCTCTTCAGAAGGCATGGCTTGAGGGGTCCTGGTTTTCACATTCTTCTTCATGGGTTTTCGTTTCCAGGTTGATAGGTACTTCTTTCAGGCTTGGAGAAATTTTTCCATTTCCTCTTTCTCCATTTGAGAATAATTCCTCCTCATTTTCCACCACATGTTCAGTTTGTTCCTCTGGAAAGTGATGTTTTGATCTATGAACCTGCACATGGGAGTACTCATCATGTAAGTCCAGTTCTTTATGGCTTCTACTGATATTCTCTGATACATTACATTAATGTGATTTCTTTGTGCAGCATATTTCTTATGTTAATTTACTCATAATCATATAAATTTAACAAATCAAAACAGCACATACCTGAAATGAAATAGAAGCAAGAATCATAAATCTAAAATTGTTGAATATACATGAGTACATTTTTTTGTTAAATTGTAATTACTCACATAATATTAATTGGCAACTTTATAAAATTGTGTATATGTACTATACTTACGTAAACACAAAATTTAAATTGCAATTTTTTGCCAATCTAAATGGACATTTCATTATACTGTACTCACGTGCCACCTTTTTAAAAACTTTACTGTCATTAAGAAATTTGATGGTGTGGATTGACAACATTTTGTTATTATCAAAGACCATACAAAGGCTTCCTTTATCCCATCCTGGACAGCTGCACGGATTGTAATAGTTTAGTATACAAATGTTTAGTTGATGACCTGCACGTACAGGTATACCACTGTATTTGCTTTTCTGTTGTAGTGCTGAATAGTTTTTAAATGTTTATGACCTTGTCATTTTATTGAATATTTAGTATACTGCAGTTATTACTTTAAATTCATTTACCATTTCTTATATTGTGTGTGCACAGACTCGGGTCGTGATCGGAAGAGGCGGCGTACTGATGCTGTAGAGATTGAGGATCGTCTTGAGTCCTTAATTATTCGTGTAGGAGAAAAGGTCAGTTATTAATACAATACAGTGTAATAAAATATAAGTTCTGCATCTCAGTAGATGATCATAAAGATGGTTTGTCCCTAGTCATATTCCTACATGCCATGCTAGAGTTTGTGCATGGTTGTTTGTGCATTAGTCTCGTTACGTAATGCACAGGGACATACCAGTTGGTATCCCTTCTTATGGCTATAATGATGATTGCAGTGCTTCACTGAGTGTCTCTCTTGCTGCTGCTATATATCAATTTAGAATACTGCATGATCTTTTGTTCTTGAAACAATATTTTCTTTCACAGTATATTGGGGATATATTTAATTACATTAATTAAATTTTTAATTGCATTGAGAATTTGTTTTCAGTTAATTTCATCAAATTATTTGTATGATGGATCTAAAGAGATCGTGCTTTCTCTTGCACGAGTTGTAATGTTGGGATGGGTTTTCAATTACGGTACGTAGTATGTATTAATATTAATCAGTAGATGGGTAAACCTCAGCATGGCCCTTGGACTATATATGCACCTGATAAAATGTATGCAGAAACAGGTAACTAAGATATTCTTCACGATTGTAGTCTTGTGTAATCACCATATCTGTTGCAGTATGTGTTGAAAGTGTGATGGACAGAGTAAGTAGTAAATTTCTGTATTGTGAAACCTTTTTGCTAATTACTGTATTGTGATACAGTACTTTATTTATTAATGTACTGTACAATAATTTGTGATGGTTGCCCAATAATTTTTACTGAATGTATTAGATCATTGAATTATTTGGAAAGAAGCTTGTGTTTTATAATACCCAGCATGGACATGTGACGGTTGAAGATGCATTTCATGTTAATGTTGTTATCCTTAGAGTACATCATCCCTGGAGAGCAATCTGGAAGGTTTGGCAAGTGTTCTGGAGGCTGACATCAATAATTATAAGAGCAAGATTCTCAAGATTCTTAGTGATTGTGCTGTTAAGATGCCAGAGAAGACTACCATATACACTACTCTGGTTGGCCTTTTAAATGCTAAGAACTACAACTTTGGTGGAGAGGTAAATAATGTTTTGCTATTTATATTTATATATGTTCATTTTATTTTAATTCCTAAAATGTGGCTATCATCACAGGTGTCCCTGCCTTCACTCACACAAAGTAAATAAATGTAATGTTGTACATAATAGGTCAAGTTGCCTAAGAAACCAAATTTTCTTGAAATATTATATTTTTTCAAGTACATTTTCTTGTAGAATGATACAACTTTCATTACATTACAAATGATTAAAAAAAGTTTTAATTCAGAACTAACAGAAATTTAGTCAAACCTGACCTAACATAACCAAGTCAGTAAGTTGCAAGACACTTGTTTTGAGTTTCAGGCTTAACTCAAAGCAGCCCACTCCTTTACTCCTATTCTGTCTGGTAATGTTGTCTAGAAATAGATTAAAAAAAACAGCTGGAAATATCAAATTGTGACAATACTGTAAATGAAAGTCTTGTGGTACACAATAGCCTTATTGACAGTAAGCAATTAAAAGTTATATAATTTTTTAATGGATTTATGTTAACTCCATTACATCCATATAGATGTATTATAACTATACTGTATTTACATCATTGTATAAAAACCGGGTAATAACTAAAATCAACATATGATGATCAATCGCATTACCCCGGAATTGTGACAATAACCTTACTCTTATGGGGTTAATTACATTGCCACATTTGTAACAAAATTGTGTTTTAACCAAATGGTTTCTTTTAGTTTGTAGATATGATGGCACGAAAGCTAAAAGAAGCTCTGAAAGCTTGTATGTGGAAAACAGCTCGGTATGTACTGCGATTCTTCTCTGACCTGGTCAACTGTCACGTCATATCCACCAACTCACTTCTGCAGCTGCTACACACTTTCTTGGACACAGCACGAGATGACAACTCTCCCCAAGGTAGGAAACTTAATTGATACACAATTTGAAAAAATACAAACATTCTGTATAAGGATGTATAGGATCTGTTTCATTGCCTGTATGCTTTTGTTTGCTTGCATGCATTTTTACCTATAGTTCTTAAAACACTACATGTGTTTTAGAGTGAGGAGAATTATCTCATCCCTTTTTCTCTTCAGTCCGTAGTGATACATATGTGTATGCTGTACTGAGCTGTCTGCCATGGGTTGGGCGGGAGTTATATGAAAAGAAAGAACAAGATCTAGAACGCTTATTAAAGCACATTGAGATCTATGTTAGAAAACGCAGTCGCAAGCATGTCCCCGGCCTCAGGGTGTGGCGTTCAGACCGACCTCATCCACAAGAAGAGTACTTAGATTGTTTATGGGCCCAGGTATGATTTTTTTTCTTTGTTTAGTGGGTTGCTACTGTGTGTTGGTGATTGTTTAGTCATGATATTTTATAGCATGTGTGATAAAATGTTTCCCATTTTTCTCTGGGCTGATTTCTCCCCAACCCTTGATAGAGGAAAAAAGGTAATGATAATTATTTGTAAAATATCATAAATGTTTAATAAGATGTATATAAGTATACTACGTATTTGTAACTTATTTTATTGTATTTGTTTAGAGTGGGTGGAGGGTGGCTATTGTGTGCATTGTATGCTGCTGGTATTTAGAAAACGATAATTTAAAGTGCCAAAGTTGAGTTATCTAGCATTACCAGTTTGACGTAATGAGTTTGTCATTCAGTTAGTACATCATAAGGATTAGGATTAAATCTAATACAGTATAGTATTTTAAGAATGCAAATAAGTTAAAGTAAAATTAAATATTTTTTATTCTAGAGTCTGTATGAAGGATAAAATTTACTATTAATATCTTATTATTTTTACGTATGAAAAATAACAGAATACAACCACTCTTATCCTGTAGATCTGCAAGTTACGTTCAGACATGTGGCAAGAGAAGCACATAGCTCGACCCTACGTTGCATTTGACTCTATCCTGTGTGAAGCCTTGCAGCACAACATTCCTCCTCTCACACTTCCTCCTCATCATGTTGACAACACATACCCCTTCCCATGGGTGGTTTTCAGGTATATATATACATATATATATAATTTGTTTATATGTTTCAGTATATTGTGAATATTATAGAATACTATCATCAAAGCCAAATGTTTTTTGTGAGTCATCATGTAGTTCTACAAGGAAGAAATAGTGATGAGGATGAAACACTGGTTTTGTTTACCTTGGATGGTGAAGTTGCATCCACCACCTTAACTTGTTCCAGCCATCTACCACTCTTGTTTGCAAAAGAAAACTTCCTAATATTTTGTTATTTCTTTAGCTTGAATCTGTGACCTCTTGTTCTTGAGGTTGGCAGTTTCAGGAATTCGGTCAGTTCCTGTTATTATTTTGTGAGTGGTGATCATATTGCCTCTTTTTCTTCCATCTTCTAGCTTTTGCATATTTAGCACCTATAGCCTCTCTTCATAATTCTTGTTTTTTCAGTTATGAAAGGCAATTTATAACATACTGCTGCACCTTTTCCAGTTTACTGATGTGCGTCTTGAGATATAGTCACCATACAACTGCGACATATTCCAATTTTGGTCTCAAAAGTTATAAACAGTGTATTTCGCCATCAGTGTAGTTAAAAGCGAGTCTGAAGTTAGAAAGCGTCGCATACGCTCCTGAAAGTATCCTCCTGAAAGAAAGAAAAGTAAACAAAGCAGCTGCTCAATTGTTCATGTCTGCCCGGGGATTGAACCTGGGTCCCTCAAATTTGAGCTGAGCACATGGACAATCGTGCTACATTACCTGCTAAAACAAGAGAACTATTGACATATTCGAGGCAGCTCATACTACCATAGATGTAACATTTCACTCGCCTCATGTACTTGGAGCCTCGAACACCAGACCTCCAACATGAGAAGTAGATGCTATATCAATTGCACTACCCAGTAGATCAAAAAATAGTATACAGTACTATGGTCGCTAATCTGCCCGAGTGTGATAAGAATAGTGTGTGTTATGTGGTGTGGTGTGTTTATGGACAATATGTTATTTTGCATAGATAAACAGACAATATCTTAATGTTACATCTGAAATTATCTTGCAGGTTGTTTGATTACACCGACTGTCCTGAAGGTCCTGTCTTGCCTGGTGCCCACTCCATTGAGCGTTACTTGATTGAGGAGCACTTGCACAACATCATCAAAGAGTACCACCTGGAAAGGAAACAATGGTTGGTATGAGTAAATAATCTTATCAGGAGTATCTCTTGGAGAAAAAAACATTGGTTGTTATGAGTGATGAACAAACTGAATGAAATGGGAGAGCTATTCACCTTTTACTGGTCAGTGACACAGGGAATGTGGTGCACGAGTGTGAAACAGCGGTGAACGAGTGTGAATAACCATGGACACGTTAAAGGGCAAGAATGGATTGGAGCAGATTGTTAGCTAGGATTGAATATACACCTGGTCTTCTGATGCAGTTGGTGCTGGAGTGTGGTAGTGTTTGTAAGGTTGCCAGAGTGGGCTACAAGTAGCCCACTTCTTGTAGCTTCTTGTAGTCCACTTAAAAAGCCAGCTATTATGTCACTATTTGGTCAACTTGCCAAGATCCCCATATGACCTAAGCCAACAACGGACCTTCCCTAGGATAAAATGGAATGGATGTCTAGCTTTGGTGTCTATTTACTGCTTGGTGAACACCTACATTGGGCTTAAGGATATTTAGAAAAATGTCTTACCATGCACAGAAATAAATTTAGGTCCACTTCATTGAGAGATGGTTTGTGCTTGTATGTTACTGCAATATATATGTAACATATGTTATGTATGTAACTTACAGTATGTAATGTATTTATATATACAGTAGAATCATTTGCTGGTATAATGATTAAATTTAATCATGGTATAATGCCATTATAATGCCATTAAATGGTATAATGCCATTAAATTTGGCAGCTAAGCTGCCAAATTTAATGGCAGCTCGGGAGAAAACACGCAAGCATATATTGGAGCTTCATATGCAGAAATGTTATTGTTAGGTGTCAAGGCAATTAAATAATATGTGCATATTCTGTCTTGTGTGAAGTGCTGCCTTTTTGCTGGACTTTCCTCTGAAGCACAAGATTCCTCTAGAGTACATGATTGTTGAAGTAGTGCTGGCTGAGCTCTTCCACCTGCCTGGGCCTCGTTACATTGAAATCTGCTACGGCTCACTCCTGATTGAGCTCTGTAAACTGCAACCTGCCACCATGCCTCAGGTAAGGAACTATTTGGGCTCAGTATTTCTGTTATGTAAAATAATAGACCAGGTGGTGTTGGTAGCTTGTGGGAGCACTGAGGTGCTGATGGGGAGAGATTTGAAGAGATGTTATGTACTGTATATAACTTATGTAGAGCTAAGAACAACTAAGTAAATAATGATGCATCAAATAGGAGGTATGAGATGGGTGAAAAACAAGACTCAACAAATGGTTGATAAGAGATTAGCAAGGAGCTCTCCTCTGTCAAAAAGTAGGACTGAATAGACAAGATTGTGTGTGTGGAGTGCACAGAGCTTGGTAGGACTGAAGGGACAGGACTGTGTGTGGAGTGCACAGAGGAGGGAAACATATAGTACATAATTTTAACTTGAAAAATATTTGAGGGACGGGTTTCAAATCTGCACTTTCTTAATTTTCTGATGTGAGGTTCGGTATCATATCTTCCAGCCATGTTATTGTGACCCATCACCTACTTATTAATGTTGTTATGTTCACCGCAGGTGCTGGCCCAAGCTGTAGAACTCCTTTTTGACCGCATTGACACAATGAACGTATGCTGTTTTGACAGGTTGGATTTCTTACAACTTTTTTGGGATTTAGATAAGGTGTATACTAGTACAGGCAGTCTTTGTTTTATGAACATTTGGTGTACAAACACGTCCATGCAAACATTTTCTCGTGTTCCCCCGTACCGTTGTATAATGTACAACCTGTATAAAGTTGAATTAATTTTATAACTGTTTTGAGGCTGCACTTTCCTAACTTTTGTTTTGAAACATAAATATGTGACATCATGATCACAGTAGGAACAATAGTGGATATTAACTAATTATAGTTGATTTATCTATTTATAGTAAGCATTTAATAACTTTTTCTCCCTAGGTTTGTAAATTGGTTTTCGTACCACTTGAGTAACTTTCAGTTTAAGTGGTCATGGGATGAATGGCTGGAGGCATCACAGCTGGACGGCATGCATCCGAGAGCCAAGTTCATCATCGAGGTGCTCCAGAGAGCCATGAGGTGAGTCAGTCTTGGTGCTGCAACTCTACACAAGTTATATAGCCCTTGTCTACTTTTAGGTTGAATTAACCTTTTCCTGGCAAGGCCTAACATGTTCCTGCCACAGTTTTTATGGGTAACCAGATGGTAATGTTTCCACATATGGTATGTCTTCTGATTATATTTTGGATAATTCTTAAATTCTCTTCAGCTCTATGCACACTTCTCTTTTTCCACACAGTTAATTCTTTGCATTCCTCAGACTGTTTGCCTGGTCATTGATCATTATCTTTATAAGACTGTTCAGCAACTTGGGTACATATTTGGCATTTTGTTGCTAGTGTGTCATCTTTTAACAGTTTCTTATGCTAATTCATGTAATTTGCATTAATTTCTAGCTCGTTTTGTGCATTACTATTAACTGCACTTTATCCTTACCTTTCTATAACTATTTTTAGCTTTCCAGCATGTCTCGTTAAAAAACCTTTTTATAATTTAGTAATCTTTGTCTGCATTCCTTTTGTTCTAGGGGAATTTTTGTTAGCGATTTTATCTCGTGTCCATCTTTCTGTGCATAAAAGTGTGCGGTTGGAGAGTTGCCACTGTGGTCAACCATGTATAGTGTGAATCAATCCAGGTTAACAGTCTTATTTCAGGCAGTCATTGTTTAAAGGAGCCTACTTTATTAAAGGTGCCCAATTTGGCTCCTGGGTATTGCAATGACTTCTATAGAGAGCTAATTGAACCATATGGGTACTCTTTGCATGTAAACACTGGTTTGACAACTCCAATCTTTACATAACGGTTACCACCATGACAGTTGTGGTCCGCACATGGTGATACTGTAGTTCAGTTTAAGGTTTAATAAGCTTTTCACTCCACACTTCTGCTGCTGGCCACAAGCCCTTGTTTTACGTCATTTGGTTCTTGTACTAGTTGGATTTTCATTTAATTTTGGCTAGGAATTCCATAATTTATATATATTTTAGCCATGTAATCTTGAAATATTGCTGTATTACTTGCCTTGTAGCACTGCATGCATTGCTATTAGTATTCAATTTTCTATACATAAGAGTAAGTAATTTTTGTAATGTGTTCAGTTAGCACCTAAAATTAATACTTGGAAATGTTTTCAGGTTATCATATCGCCAGAGAATTGCAGAAGTTGTCCCTGAACAGTTTGACTGTTTTGTACCACACAAACCAGAACCAATATACAAATATGCAAATGCTGATGCTAGTGAGTAATCATATTTTTGCCTTACATGAATGTATGACAGTATAATTAGCTCTTGTTTAATTCATTTTTGTATGGATCATTGTCTATATATTATGTTTATGTATGGTTGTATGAGGGTCAGAGGCCAAACACATGGAGCTAGCTTCACCCAACTTTGCACAATGAATGGCCTTGGATGGAGAACAGTCATAAGCTAGTTGGTGTCAGCCTTATTGAGTGTGAGAGTTGGGCCCTAGAATGATTACCCCTTCCCCTCCCCTCTACATTATCAGTGAAATGTGGTTGGTATGGTCCCTAGATTTCTTTGGGATGGACAAATCATTTTGGAAAAAGAGCCAGTAAGAACACCATTCACAGGAATCAACATTCATGACTCCTATGGGGGCAAGCAGGAAAGTCAGAACAGCTCCCTCTCCATCCATCCTAAAGGAGCCTTTGAAGGCTGCCTCCATGGTATAAGATGACCTGAGTACTCAGTGGGGCACCACATTCCACCCCCCAAAGGTATCAGACCAGAAACAGGACCACAGACCCTGAGCAGAATGAGAGAAGGAAGCTAAACCTGGCATGGAAAGGGAAATGCCAGGGACTGGCATGATTTTCTGGGTTTCTGGCAGGGATCCCAGAAACCCCTGAGACCAGGGACTGAAATGCCAGAACCTCAGAAAAAAAGTGAAGGAACCTGAACTGGTGCATGACTATGGCTTAGAGCAGCATCTGAAGCAAGTCAAGCTGACCAAAATGAATTGGAAAGCAAGACCATTTTGGTCTTGCTTTCCAATTCATTTTGCTCAGCTTGACTGCTCACAAAAGCTGCTCACAAAGTCTGTGAGCAGCTTCTGCTCATCCATTAGCCTGTGCTCATTACATTAGCCATGTATTTAATACTCCTGATCTCGTTATTATTATTCCACTGCTGTACCCTGTGATCATTGCACTACTCTGTTCATATCCAGGTCCAGTATATGAAAGCCAGGTGATATCTCTTTATCTTGTGCAATAAAAAATATCTAGTTAATATTTTTTTCATTATGATACTGTGTGCTTTGTTATATACCATACCAAACATGGAAATAATTAAAACTTCATAATACAAAGTTTTTTCTACATTTGCAGGTGATATACCTGGTGCTGATGCTGCCCATCGCCTTGAAGCTGTGGTTCGAGCAAAAGGAACTTCAACTGAGGTTATACAAACGCTCAATGAGCTTCCAAATCCACTTCGTGAAAATGATGAGACAGACCCACCATATAATCCTATTCAGATTCAAGTCTTTGTTCAGACACTACTTCATCTTGGGTCGAAAAGTTTCTCTCATGCTTTTGCTGGAATTTCCAAGTTTCTCAAGGTAATTTGTAGTTGTTAGCCATGTTGTGAGCACATGTCAAGAAGTAGTCCAGTTTAATTGTTATGTGGAAACTTAAAGATAAACTCTTGAACTACTGTTCTTTATTCTTATAGTATGGAGGGAAAACAATAGATCAGAACACAAAGGGTAGTGAATACACTATACTTTTGTGTCCTTTAAACAACAGTTTCTTAGAGCGCACACATGGCAAGCACTATTTTATTCAATAACAAAAGCCAACATGTAGCATACTTTGACTTGTTTTGAATGCTCCTTCCACTTGGGAGGAGCATTCCAAATTCTCGACCACTTGGATGGCATGTGAATAGTCTCTAGATTGTACATGGGGCTAACCTTCAAGTAGGCAAAGTCCCCAGTGGGAATCAAATTGAAGCTTAAACATTTCTTCATGAAAAGAGTAGTATGTGAGAAAAAAGTTTGCACATGTAGGCATCATAAACTTAGATAATTTTTTACAGGCATCATGAACTTGGATAATTTTTTACTGTTATTAAATATGTCGTGTAACTATTGTAATTTGAGTGTATAGTATAGTTATAAACTAGATGAAATGTGCTCGTAATTATAAGTAGTCTTACTAACATGTTTAGCAATAATTGGATATTGAGATATTTAAAAATAATCTGATTTCTTACACTGCCAACAGGTTTTTGAATCAGTAGTTGGAAGTAATGAGGAAGCTCAAATCTTGGTGTTGCGTGAGATGCATGAAGTTTGGGTCCACCACCAACAGATGATGGTTATGCTTACTGACAAGTTCCTCCGCACCCAGATAGTCTCCTGTGCCTCCGTTGCAAACTGGATGTTCAGCAAGGAAATGTTGCCGGAGTTTACAAAGTATGTTTCGTGTGTGTGGTAGCCACCTCCGTGCACAGAAATCATTTGCACGTATGACAATATTAGAACACCTGGAGGTGTGAATGTGATGCACATTTGGTGTACCTGAGAGATGTTCCCCAGCATTAGCTCTCACTCTGTTGATATAGTTATTTCTTTTTTATGAACCCTGCATACATTTTGACCACAAGATTTCTGTTATGAACTATAGTACATCTCCCTGGACCAATAACTTTATTACACAGTGTAAATCTATGTCTTGTAAATCAAAAGTTTAATTGATACAATTCAATATTTAAGGTGATATGGTCAGATCTAACAAGTCAAAGACAACTTTAAATTATATGGCATATATACTTTAATAGCCTTTCTTTACAATGTTAAATTCTGGGTTGTATCAAGCTTTCATCATTTGTGTTTACCAAAGAGTAGTGTCAAAGAGAATTGCCTGTATTTCTTTCTTTACACGTGGTTGTAAATTTCATCCAGAATATTTGTTGGTTCATCTTGGATAGTTGTGATGAATGATGAACACTAAGAGAATGTCTTGCTCTATATGTTATTTGTGAACAAGAATAATGCATTTTTTCAGGAATTACATATGGGAAATCATTCATGCCACTATTCGAAAGATGAACAAGCATGTGGGACGATTACAGCGGGAAGTAAGCGATGCACGCGAACGTCGAGCAGGGAATGATTCTGACGATTCCTCATCGGATGACGAAGAGCAGCGACCACGACCCACTGAAGAGGAAATAGAAAGAATGGAAGAAAAACTTGAAGCTGCTCAGGCTGATCAAAAGAATCTTTTTCTTATCATATTTCAGGCATGTTGTTTATATTAATGTTATGGGGCTTATATTTGGTCTCGAGGGTTAATTTAGTCACCCTACCATATTAAAGCTCTGATATGCAGTTGGCTTGAACTTCATTCTGTTACTGATATGACTACAAGTTAATAAAATAACTTAGCTCTAAAGTTCATTCCTAATGGAAACAAATAATTATCCCATTAAATAGACGAGTTCCTGGGGTCAGGCTTCAGACAAGCTGATGTAGGATAACATCGTTAAGCATGCAGCTTCTTTAAAAGCCTCGGTCATTTTCATATTGAACATAGTCTTGGTTAATAAAAATTGATTTTCAGAATTTCTGAGATTAGATGCCATCATCAGAATGCTAACATTTTAATAGAATAATGTTACAAAGATAATTATTAAGGATGATATATTTTGTAATTACAGAATGGTATTTGTCTTTATTCCCTGTTTAACTTAACATATTTGTTGTATCCTATTCATGTAATATAATTACTGAAGTGAAAGTGGTGATAAACAATAGAAGAGGGAGAAGAAAAATTGACTACTAAATTTGTCAGTTCTTGCTCACTTGCTCTTTGTTTCCACAGCGCTTTATCATGATTCTGTCAGAGCACCTTGTGCGCTGTGATACAGACGGCCGCGACTTTAACACACACTGGTACCGTTGGACTATTGGCAGGCTCCATCAAATCTTCATGATGGTAAATATATCTTGTTTTATGTTGTGTGCCAATTGGATAATAACTTGAATGTCATTTTAAATGCCATGAGCATGAGTTCCTTATGGATTACCTCCATGAAATACCTATGTCTGTGGTCTTTGATACCAGTTTTTATGGGGGGGGGGCAGTTTTCTGTTTATTTATATTTGTTTTCTCTGAGAAATGAAAGTTTAGAGCAGTCCTTGATTCTGTTTGTGTATCAAATTTGTTATTGTCCACTGTGTTATTGTCCTTATATGATTTTGAATAAGGACAATATACAATAATTTTTTATTGTCCTTGTACTGTAAAGATAATGCAAAGCTTTCTTGTGATCAGGACTTATGGAGATCTTTGTATTGTCAAAGAGACGAATTCCTAATAGTACACAACATAATGAATAATCTCAAATATAATATAGGCCTAAAGACAATTTTTATAAGCCTAGAATACACTTCATAGGCCTAGAATTTTTTCACATCCAATTGATGTTTTAGATAATGTGCTTTACCACTGTGTTGTTTATAGCACTTATTGTGATATCAGACTAACCTTTAAATATTGCTCATACTGCTTTGTTATCGTCCGTCTCTCCACAAGTAGTCAATTTGCCCTGTTTACTTGTGTACCTGTTTACTCTCTTCCTCTACTGTGTGTCCTTATGTATATCTCTGTACTTCAAATGTGCATTAGTAATATGTTAACTTTCAGTGTATAAGGCTATCTACTGCCTTATCATTTAAACATTTACATCTTGGGTCAGTTCACATTTAACCATCCAAATTATTTGTCAAAATTCTTGAATTCCTTGGCATCATACTGAATTTATTTTTTAAAATATCCTAAAAATATATTTTTCATTCTTGCTTTAATCATCACATGGAGCATAAGCAACAAAACTCTTCACCCAAAACTTTTTTTTTTTTCCTCCCTTCAGTACTGCATCATGCACCACTACCTTGATTTCTGACTCAAGAAGTCATTCATTACTTTGCATATCAAAGTTCATTCAAAGCATTAACTAGTCTACTCCTTCCTTACTCATCTAGGTTCCTTTGACTATTCCAATCCTAATGCTTACTTTCTTTGAAAACTGTTACACTTTCTTCTGTCTGTCATTAATTCCAATGTGACTTTTTTTCGGGGGGGGGGGGGTTCTAGTCTGGTTCAGGACAATTTTTTCACATTGTAGGGACACATTTTGGTAGGTGGGTTCCCAGCACAATTACTTAAACCTTTTATTACAGGAGAAGCACAGCTGATTGCATCATATAGTATTGGGTGGCAGAATTACTAGACTACATAGTTACAGCAGACTTTTTTAAACTTCTTAAATAAATATGTTTTGCTTGTCGAATTATCCTTTGGAAAACTACCTTTCAGTGCCCCCTACCACATATATGCCTGTTGTGCCAGCGTAAATTACAATATAATCATGTTTGACCTAGCTATTAGTTACTAATGCGGGTGTTGTGTATTTTTCTTTCAGCACAACACCCAAGTGGAGCGCTACAGCCAGACCCTGAGTACCCTGCTCTTCACTCAAGATCTTGACCCCCATATTCTTGATGCCTTCAATCAGTTTGTTGCTCTTCGTTCATAATTGTCCACTCATGGGTGTTGCTTTACTATTGTTTGTAATGACAGTGTGTACATTGACAGGTGCACCTGCAACCCTTTATTTAATGCACATAAACTGAACTAATTCCCCTTTTTGTAGAATATTATGATATAAATTATATTCAAGATATTAACATATTTCGTTGCTGAGGCCATTTTGGAAATGGAGCTATGTTTTGCAATATACCCTTTTTATTTTATTATTTATCCTGCAATTTAGTTTTGTATAATTTTCAGTTAAATTATTTAATCTATTTAAAATTGTCTAGATAAATTTTAGGAACTTATTAAAAGGAGATGTATGTAGTTGCATTGAAGTTATAATTTTCAGAATATATAAGCATCTATATCTACTGAATTGAAAGAAATTGTATGACCTCTCCTAGATACATCATTAAAAATTAGCTTAACTAATGTAATTGGTTTTTAAGAACTGATGCATGTTGTTAATGTGTTGAGCGACAGTCTGGATCAGTCATTTTGTATGCAAGGAATATCAGTCATTTATGGTAATCTTCAGTATTCACTTCGAATATCATGTCTCGCCTTTATTCTCCGTTGGGAATACGTACATAGCTCTGTGTACATAGCATGTTGATTTACAAGCTGTTAGTTATGTGCAATTTTTGACCAGCCTTGATGGCATACTGCTTAGGGCAAAGGGGTATTTTTTTTTTAACTTTTGGCTTTTATACTGTAGTTGTATTCAGAAGAGATTGCATTGTCAATACCTGGGCTGCAGGTATCAAAGCAGTGACACTGATAGGGGGTTCTAAGGGTGAACCTCCCTACAGGGACGTGTACTAGCTGCACAGATGATTGATATACACAAGAGTAGTTAAAGTACTAAAATAGCCTGACTGAGATGGAGCTGGGAAGTCTTGGAATTTGACATTATAGAAGTTTTCAGCCTGGCAGTTAGCTATATTAATATTCCTCAATGCATGAGAACTTGTAATAGTTAATTATATATATATACCATATATACAAAAATTTTTATTTCCTTTTTAGACACTGAATTGTAGCTTAAAACATTGAATCTGTTGAAATTAGATCCTAGAGGAGCATTATTTACACTATCTTCAGATAAAATTGTAGCTGTATAATATATTCCAGAGAGTGCTATCACGAAGTAAGAAAGGCAGATTACTCTAAGCCCTTGGCTGAATGAAGGACAAAGCGTTGACTTTTGAGTCAAATTGTGATTTCACGTTTTTCAATGCAATTACAAGATAAAAGAGAGTCGAGTATATTTGGAAAACGGGTAACTAACTGTACTGTACATTAAATCGTATCCATAGGAACCAATTTTTAAATATAACGTTACTAGTTCTTTAATGCAACAACTGTAGGTATATGTGAACAGTTATATAACCAGAGAATCTTTGGTGCAGTTAGGAGTGTTTTACCCTGTTGACTTGCAGTGTTCGTTGCTGGATCTTTTTGGAGGAGTTTCATGTTTATTCATTCTTGCTTGAATTGTGAGCCTGGTTACCTGCATCTGGAATGAAAGATTAAGAACAATTTACTGTTCATATCTTTGGAAGACTGTATTCCTTGTATTTTATATGAATGGAGTTACTGTATCTGTTCTGAAGTATTGAGAGCAACAAACTTTAAATTAAATTTTTAGTCATATAGATTTTATGGTAATACTGCACGCTGCTTATGCTTGGTATTTATCAATATAAACATTTATATTTGCAAAGAAAATAATAGCAATATTTAGCTTGTATACCTTTTCAATAAGATATTTGTCAGAAATTCAGGAGAATAAACTTTCATTTTAACTAGTTATTTTAAGGTAACAAATAGAGAAGACCCTTATGAGAAGCTCCTTTATTTCACTGGTAAATCCGGTTCATTCAAGTGGAATTATGAATATCATTCACTTGCCAATGCATGACAGTTTTTCACTGGCCACTCTGGAAAGTTTCTAAATTAAGTTATAATTAGTAGATCAACCCTATTTAATTATGGGTAAACTATTTTTTTTTATGAATCACATTGAATCATTTTGTGTAAATCTCTAGGTAAAGCTGTATACACTTATTATTTGTCAATTTTGAAAAATTAGCAGAAATCTCAAACTTTTATGAAATATATAGCTTCACCTCAATGTTAACACCATTCACAAATAAACTGTACACAGCATGTGTTTCTTAAGTTTTTCATTTATTTAAAATAATTTGAATCTTTGCCTTAAACATTTATCACATGCTCCTTAGTTGTCTTCAATTGCTGGAAAAAAATTATTTAAAAAAAAGAAAATGGATCAATGGTTACTGGTGGCACTTGATCAGAAAACCATGAAGATTATAACTATAACAGATAATAGCACACCTATATGGTGACCACTGCAGCCAACCATTGGTGGAGCAGCCTCGTGTCCTCTACAATAAAGGTTAGGAAGTTAGGCTGGAATGTAAATTTATAATAGTAATGCATTCTGTCACTTCTCCTGCACCCGTTCCCTCTGCCTCTCCCTCCCACCTTTTCATTGTGCATTTGACAAGAAGCGTTGAAGGTAGAACTACTGGACAATAAGGCACGAGTGCATACGGGCAATGTGTAAAATCCTGACTGGTCTTCAGTTGGAAGCCACAAGACCCCTAGAGGATTAAGTGGAATTCCAGGTTGCATTGCCTCTGACCATGTCATTGTTTAGTGGTCTAGGGCATTTAGTTGCCAATACCAAGAGAATGGATTCGAATCCTCCTCATGGCTCCTACTGAATTTCTCATTGATTCAATGACAATAACAGCATAAAATTAGTTTTAACACTATGAACAATCAATCCTACATTTCATACTTCATAGGATTTATTGGGATTTGGAACAGGAGTCAGTCCATTACACACAGAAATCACAGTAAAGTGATGCATCAAATGAACAAATCCACAAGGGCCGTGACGAGGATTCGAACCTGCGTCCAGGAGCGTCCCAGACGCTGCCTTAATTGACTGAGCTACGACGGGCCTCGTCATGGCCCTTGTGGGTTTGTTCAGGAGTCAATCCATGTTAAAGAGGGGGCTAGGGGTATGAGGATGGCATGACCCCAGTTACCCTTTGATACGCTATACCATAAATCACCATGTAAATATCCGTGAGGCTAACCCCATGCATCTCTCCTCCAACCTCAGACAGATACAGACATTTTCTTCTAGATATTCATTATAATAGCTAATTTTAAATACTGTAGATCACAACATATGAATAATTTTTATAGATCTGTTTAGATCAGGAAAATATATATTGATCATTAAAATTAAAGCTCATTGGGAATGTTTACATATATTTTAAACACGTGATGTGGGTGTTTCATGTATAACAATCACTTGGCTTGTTAAGGTACCTCTTTCCTAGAGCAACCCGTCCTCACACAGGGCTGTTTAAAGCAGCAGCCATCCACCACAGATGCATTCATCAATTTTAACATACTGTGTATTAAAAATTGGTTTATCCTCATATACTTATTAATATTATAATACATAAGAATTCTATGTATAGTTAGGTGTAGGTTAGGTTAGGTGTTCAGCTTTTGTTTGCGATTATTTGTATTTGAAGTACTGTATGTGGGCCAAGCATTTCAACCCGTCCTCGGACCAAGTCTATCCAGCGGTCGACCCCACAGACGCATTTATCAATTTTAACATTCTGTTCATTCAAAACAGAACTTTTCTCAAATATAAATTAATATTATCATATATTAGCATATTGTTCATATTTAGGCACTGGTTAGGTTAGGTGTTTTGGTTCTGGTGGCGATTATTTATATTTCAACCCGTCCTCGACTCAAGTCCATTATATCCAGCGGTCGACCCCACAGACGCATTCACAAATTTTTACATACTGTTCATTCAAAACGGGAATTTTTTCAAATATAAATTAATATAATAATATATTAGCATATTCTGCATATATAGGCATACGTTAGGTTAGATGTTCAAGTTTTGTTGGCGATTATTTGTATTTGTAGTACGTGAGTGAAGCATTTATAGTGTGGTTCGAACAAAATTCGTCGGTGAAGCATTTGTTCCGGAAGTGTTCGAACGAAATTTTAGTGGTTTATTTAGTATTAGTGGCTTTGCTTGAAACGCTATGAGTGTGGCTTTAGGTATTGTATGTACTAGCTCTATCTATAAATCCAACATTATGTTTGTATATCAACTATGTATGTACTTTTCCTGAATAAAAATTTATTTATTTATTTATTTATTATTTATTTATAAATCAGTTTTGAGTCGTGTGTAAACCGTTTTCATTCATAAACAGGGGGTTTGACTGGTGCATGGAATCACTGTTGGGTCTTTGTTTGGAGGACAGGACAGACAAATTCGGGTTTTGAATGAACAGCATGTACAAATTTATGAATGCGTCTGTGGGGTCGACCGCTAGATGTAATGGACTTGAGTCGAGGATGGGTTCAATGCTTCACCCACATACTTCAAATGCAAATAATCACCAACAGATCCTAAACACCTAATCTATGCCTAACTATACATGTAATTTGTATGTATAATAATATTAATTTATATACGAAAACAAACCAATGTTTAATACACAGTATATTAAAATTGATGAATGTGGCTGGAGAGGACGGCCGCCACTTTAAGCAGCCTAGTGTGAGGATTGTGTTAAGAGCCACTTGCTAGGTCACCTGCTGGAGGTCACCTGCTGGAGGTCACATACTCGAGGCTCACTTGTGCTTGCCGGCCGCCCCGGGTGTGACTTCATTTATTAAAGGTTATCGCATTTTGGGACGATAAAATGAACGTGTCTGTGAAACACTTAGTTTTCTTTGCACTTGGTAGTGTTTGGCCGAGTTGTGTCATCGTTGACTACACCTTGTACGGTAATTTACAGAATATAACTCATGATGAAATCTATCTAGGCAAATTTGGGGGACCTTCGACAAGCCGCCGACTTCCTGTCCTCGTCGATGCCACTAGTGTTAGTGGCTCTCAGGTAAACTCATTATAGTTTCTACAGAAGCGCTGATCTCATTTTTAATACACACACACACATTGGCATCTTTATTATCATCATTAATTGCCCGTGGCATCTTAAGGGTGCTTGCAAACGCCATCTATGGGTGTAACATGGCAATATTAACAGTAACTCCTTGCTTGAGATATATATCTCAACAGTCAGTCCCCAATTGGCCAGTGGGCACACTTCCTTACACTTGATGTTTCTGTTCTCCTAGCAGTAAATATTTAAAAATGCACTTAAAAGTTAGGAAGAAGGGTAATGCTTTATGTGTTATAATATAACATTAACAACTGACAAATGTCACTTGATAATGTAACAAGACTTGATGCCGCTCGCTAACATTTAGGCTGCCAAATGTCACCTTTTGTTTAAACCAAAATTTCTTGTGAGTTATGTCTAGTGTGGCGGTGTCCTTACCTTGGTGAGGCAGGTGTGAGGAGACTCATGAGGTGAGGCAGGTGTGAGGAGACTCATGAGGTGAGGCAGGAGTGAGGAGACTCATGAGGTGAGGCAGGTGTGAGGAGACTCATGAGGTGAGGCAGGTGTGAGGAGACTCATGAGGTGAGGCAGGTGTGAGGAGACTCATGAGGTGAGGCAGGTGTGAGGAGACTCATGAGGTGAGGCAGGTGTGAGAAGACTCATGAGGTGAGGCAGGTGTGAGGAGACTCATGAGGTGAGGCAGGTGTGAGGAGACTCATGAGGTGAGGCAGGTGTGAGGAGACTCATGAGGTGAGGCAGGTGTGAGGAGACTCATGAGGTGAGGCAGGTGTGAGGAGACTCATGAGGTGAGGCAGGTGTGAGGAGACTCATGAGGTGAGGCAGGTGTGAGGAGACTCATGAGGTGAGGCAGGTGTGAGGAGACTCATGAGGTGAGGCAGGTATGAGAAGACCCATGAGGTGAGGCAGGTATGAGAAGACTCATGAGGTGAGGCAGGTGTGAGGAGACTCATGAGGTGAGGCAGGTGTGAGGGTACAGGTCAGACAGAGATGTAACGATGAGTCAGGCATTGTACTCCTCTTGTCAGCTGAGACATCCTCAAAATTTTTCCTTGAAATTACCTTAGCTTGGCGTGAGAAGGAATAATGTGCAGCCTCCAGCCTCCATGAGGCCCGTCCCGTCCTCATGAACAATGACATGAGCTTCCTAACTAATACGTCGCATTTTTGACGTTATAGTTACAGATTCAAATACGTTACAAATTCGACCTATTTAAGAAAAATATCGGCTCGCAAATATTCACGTTTTCTATGCATCGGACTTGATATAGGTTAGGTGGGTTGATTAGATTCGTATGTTTCTGGTAGAATTTTTTATGGAGTGGCAATTCAAGCAAGCCTTTTTTTTTCTTTTTTTATGCACCTCATACCCATGCCGTGGGTGGTGGTGGAAAGGGTTACAGGGGCACATAATCAAGCGGGGCCGGGGTTCGAGCCCTCCAGTGCCTCACACCAAAGAATAATTCATCAATGTTAACATGCTAGTCATTCAAAATATTCAACATTCAAAATGTATTTCTTACATATAAATTAATATTATAGATTGCCATAGTGTGCATATTTTTTGACTTAGGTAAAGCGAGGTGTTCAGGTTTTGTATTTGTAGGATGAGGCTCTCTGGTGTATGTTATTGTTGTTGTTGGGTTAGATTTAGCTACTCTGAACTAAAATTTCCACATAGCACGGGGCTATAGTGAGCCCGTAATTGAGTTCTGTTATTCACGATAACTTATTAATGTGATATTTGGATCAAACATTTAAATGAAGGTAAAGTTTCCTTTTTTTGTACTAGTTTTAGTATTTTTGTTTTAATAACATTATCCTGGTGGCGAATATAGATACACAATGTTCACTAGTGTGTCCCATTCGACGAGGAACCTCGGGGAAACAAACATGCCAGGAATTAGAACTGGAGCAGAGGAAGAACATTTTGAGGAGCCAACCTGACAGCCTCTTGATCAACTCCTCCCGTCAAGCCTTCCACCCCCCGAGAGTGCCGGGTGTGGGATGATGGCTGGAGCACTCTTGGTGATTGATGACCTCCTCCAGTCTGACAGTGAGTCCACCACAAGACAATGTCTTCTGGTATTTGGGACGACGCCATGCTATAATATCAGTTTTGTATTCTGTTGCTGTGTTTGTTGGGTCAAGCTTCAGCTTCCAGGGGTA